GCCACTGTGTAACCAAGGAAAGTTTAGAGAACAGAGTTTAGATCAGGGCTCCTTAACCTTGGTCCCAAGGGCCCACTATCCTACATATTTTATCTGTTTCCCGCCTCCACACACCTGACCTGAAGGTGAAGTGTGGAGTGCAACACTCTTTATGTGTGTGCAATATGGTTTATGTATGTGTGCAATATGCTTTATTTGTATGCGATATGTGTGTGCAAAATGCTTTATGTGTGTGCCAAACATCTTTTGTGTGCAACACACTTCATGTGTGCAATATGGTTTATGTATGTGTGCAATATGCTTTATTTGTATGCAATATGTGTGTGCAACATCTTTTGTGTGCAACACGCTTTATGTGTTAGCAATATGCTTTATGTAAGTGTGCAACATGCTTTATGTGTGCAACATGCTTTATGTGTGTGCGCAACATCTTTTGTGTGCAACACGCTTTATGTGTAAGCAATATGCTTTATGTAAGTGTGCAACATGCTTTATGTGTGCAACATGCTTTATGTGTTAGCAATATGCTTTATGTAAGTGTGCAACATGCTTTATGTGTTAGCAATATGCTTTATGTAAGTGTGCAACATGCTTTATGTGTTAGCAATATGCTTTATGTAAGTGTGCAACATGCTTTATGTGTGCAACATGCTTTATGTGTGTGCGCAACATCTTTTGTGTGCAACACGCTTTATGTGTTAGCAATATGCTTTATGTAAGTGTGCAACATGCTTTATGTGTGCAACATGCTTTATGTGTGCGCGCAACATCTTTTGTGTGCAACACGCTATATGTGTTAGCAATATGCTTTATGTATGTGTGCAACATGCTTTATGTGTGTGCAACATGCTTTATGTGTGTGTGCAACATCTTTTGTGTGCAACACGCTTTATGTGTGTGCAATATGGTTTATGTATGTGTGCAATATGCTTCATTTGTATGCAACTTGCTTTATGTGTGTGCAATATGGTTTATGTATGTGTGCAATATGCTTTATGTATGTGTGCAATATGCTTTATTTGTATGCAATATGTGTGCAACACGCTTTATGTGTGTGCAATATGGTTTATGTATGTGTGCAATATGCTTTATGTATGTGTGCAATATGCTTTATTTGTATGCAATATGTGTGCAACACGCTTTATGTGTGTGCAACATGCTTTATGTGTGTGTGCAACTTGCTTTATGTGTGTGCAACATGCTTTATGTGTGTGCAACATGCTTTATGTGTGTGCAACTTACTTTATGTGTGTGTGCAACATGCTTTATTTGTGTGCAACATGCTTTATGTGTGTGCAACATGCTTTATTTATATGCACATTTTGGCAGAAAATTGACTCCATAAAAAGCGGATCAACAGGCTTTTGGGAGCATTTGATGGCTGTCGAGGAGGTAATGAAATCATTTGAATCAGGTGTGCTTGAGTGGAGATGTGTCTGAAACATGGGGAGCAGGGTTAAGAAATCCCGGTTTAGATGGTGTGTGTGATAGAAAACGTGGCCTACAAACCCGACCCATTTAGGAATTGGCCTAAAATTTGAGAAACTGTTGATGACAATGAAAACAAAAAATATGTAAACTTCTGACTTTGAAGAAAGAAATGAATACATATCCAAATATTTACCTTTTTTTTGGTCAAAGTTATCCCTCTTTTGTGACTCTCTTGCTCACCCCCGGCTGAATGAATTTTATTAAAATAGACCACTGATCTAATTCCTCATTCAGAAAGGGTCACAGCTAAAACCAATATGCTGTGATTCGCCTCACTGAAAGGTTTTCAGGTAAGGAGTTCCCCCTCCGACTTGCTCTCCATTCTTTCCCTGGCTGTTATTTAAGCTCTATCGGCTGGCAGGGCTGCCTGGGTTCAGACAGACAGCTCTGAGCGGAGTACAGGAGCCGGCGTCTTCCTCTGTGTCACACTGCATAAAATCTGGGTTAGCTGGAGCGCAGCACCCAGGGGAGCCACTTTCTCTCTCTCATCCCTGACACGTCTTCCTGCCAAATGGACAAGGGAGGCATTGGAAGAGGAGGAGGAGGCCTGTTTCTCTCAGCTTCCTGGCTGGTTTCATCTCCCCTCTCTTTTCATTCTCCAGTCACATAGCGGGACACATGCACAGTTATGACTGCAGATAATGTGGGTGAGGGTGTACAAGCTGCACACTAAGCGAGGTCGTCTCGCCAGCCTCTCAGTCTGGCACTCGCTGACACCTCAGCGGCCAGGGCCTCTGTGTGCGAGGCCCCCACATCACACGTACACTGCTCTCCTAGTGTCTCTCGCTGTGCACATTTCTCGCTGTCTTGGCAGATGTTGGGCTTGGATCAGGCACAGACAAAATTCCTCCCCTCTTGTTTGCTGCAGCCCAGTCAGAGCGTCTCAGGCACCTGTTGCTGCACACCAGGCGGAAATGAGCAGGTTGTCTTCTGGATGCCGGAGCAGCTGGCTTTGGATGGATGGTGGAAAGGTCTTAGGGTCACATCTCAGCATTCCTGCTCCTGTTTAAACTACCCAGGGGACCTCAGGCCGACTGCTTACCTACATCAAGGGTTTTTGATAGATTATTGACCCCATGTGACCTCTGGTCTCTGGCTTTTGACAGATGTTGGGGAACTCTGCAGTGAGATTCACCGCACATTCACCTGGAAACAGATCTAATCTAAGAGATATGGAATTTGCAATTAGATCGTTCAGACAAAATATTTCAAAGCAGATTGTGGTTATTTTAACATTACCCCTTGATTATTCCGTTTTAGGCCTGTTTAAACTGTTAAAAACTCACCTTTTATAATGTAATTATTCAAAGAAAACATTTATTTATTAAACAATAAAAAAAATAGGATTTTCCATTTTTTGTGACAGAGCATAAGCTTTTTCGTTGCTGTCTTCAGTTGAAAATTTTATTTTAATCTTACTGTTAAATCAACAAAAGTTTCACTCTTGCTCTGAGATCTTGGCTCTGTGAGAGAGGCCCATAGTAACTCTAGACGAGCTGTGACGCATGGTGGTGGCAGTATCATATGTGCAGAGGGATTTTTTTTTTTTTCAGAGATGCTTGGAGTTTGTGGTAGAATAGATGGAGCTTTATATCAGAAATAAAACAGGTGAGAGGCTGAAGAACATTTGACATAAAACAAAGGTTAACTTTCCAGCAAAATATTGATAATTTGAATGCGACCTGGAGCTATACATTTAGAGCAGGGCTCTTCAATATTTTCCAGGCTAAGGACCCCCAAACTGATGACGAGCTGGAGCAGGGACCCCCAATTAAATATATATTATGAAATTGTGTTATATCAAACTGGTCCTATAGTCACTCTATTACATATGGAGTCGTGTAACGAAAGTAATTTCTCCCTGGGATTATTGAAGTATTTCTGATTCTGATTCCTGGTTGATGGGACAGGTGTTGTGGATGAAATGGTGCCCAGCTTGAAAGAGCTCCTTTGTGTCGCTGAATGTGTGCATTGATGACTGAAAGACATCTTCTGCCTCCATTTTTCTGTTTTACTGCAGTGTGTTGAATTCATGTTAATGTGTATTTAAAGACATTTTAATTATTGGAAAAAATTGTAGGGAGGAATATAAAAAAGTTAAATCAACCAAAACTTTCTGGATCCCCATGCAGTACCTGAGGACCCCCTTGAGGTTGAGGACCCCCAGTTGAAGACCTCTGCTTTAGAGGTATTTATCAAAGTCAAGACTTAAATCAATGTGTGAGAAGTCTTGAAAATGTGTTTATGGACAATTTCTATTCAATCTGTCAGAGTTTAAGCTTGTTTGCAATGAACAGTGGACAAAGACAGGTCTCTATGTACAAAGATTTGAAGCTGCAGCTAGGTGGCTCTGAAGTGTAAAGGCTATACTACTTTTTGAAGTGAGGTGTTGGCCTAGTGGTTAGAGCAGCTTGTGCTCTGAGAAGGTTGCAAGTACCAGGTTCAATCCCCACAGCCTGCACTCTGGGTCCCTGAGCAAGACCCTTAACCACACACTGCTCCCTGGACGCCACACAATGGCAGCCCACTGCTCCCCAAGGGGATGGGTAACATGCATTTTATTGCTCTGTACTTGTTACAGTGTAATGACAATGAAACACTGGAAAAGGAAGAAAAAAGATAAAGCTCTATAAATCCACTTAGGTTCAACATCCAGACATGCTTTTCTTGCATGGGAAGTCAAAAACAATATTTTATTAATAAGAAAAGAAAAAAAAAATGCCTTGGGCAGCAGCAGCAGCCACTGAAGAGGGGGGGGGGGGGGGGGATGCTGTGTGGGGAGGGATTCCCATGGCCTTACTGCCATCCAGCTGACACATCCCTCTGCTAATGAGAGTTCAGATTTACAGCTCAGAAACCATGTCTGTGTCAGACCTCTGCATTACCTCACATTTTAGCACCCCGCCATGCTCACTGCGGCCCTGGGTCAGAGGGAAAACAGGAGTTATGCTTCTCATCAAAACACTTCAATCCCCACCACAAGTGGTTAATTTTTAAGCAATACAATCTGATGTAAGTCTGGGCATGGCTGCGGCAGATTTTTTTTCCAACCCTCCCTCCCCTTTCTCTCTCTCTCTCTCTTTGGATCCCTCCCCAGCACTCACTCATAGAATTGAGCGCGCGCACATGCACGCGCCCGCTCCTCCAAAATATATTTTATCATATCCAGCGGTGCTAAAGGAGAATATGTTTGATTTATTGGTGTCGGGCTCTGCAATGCAGCCAGTGTGAGATCTTGGATCCGGATTCGTGACTGATCCGGACCTGGGAGTGAGAAATTAGGCAGGGAGAGGGGGGGTTAGACCGAGAAGAAACAAACAAGTAACAATGTAACTTACATGCACTCACACACTCCTTTTTTTCTTGTAACAATGTGTACGTTTTTTAAAGAGGGAGGGGGGGGGGGGGACGCGGAGGGGAAGAGAGAGAGGGAGAGAGATAGAGAAAAAGGGAGGGGGTGCGTTCTGAAATAATATAGTCAGCCATTTTTTATGTAAGGGGATTTTTTTTTCTTATTGGGGGGGTTGTTAAAAAATAAATATAAGAGGGCGGCCATCTTTGTTGCTCTGCCTTAGTGTAAAATATTCCAAAACGCCCCCCTACTTTTCTCCCGTGCCGATTTGAATATTAAATAAATAACACTCCATCCGCTGCAAGAATTACAGCTTTTTGTCTTATTAATTTTTTTTAAATGTTTTTTATTTAAACACTGCACACAAGGACGGAGGCGCCAATGACGGCAGGAATATAATAATGTCCTCTCCTCTCCGCTCTTGCGAGGAAGACGAGGGCATGGTGGTTAATTCCGAGGGAGGAGATTTTGATGAAGACGATGAGGACGACGGGGAGCTGGACGAGAACGCAAGCGACATAAACTCGCCGGCGGCACCTCGGGAAACTGCAACACCACCAGCCGCGCCAGGTACGGTAGACTAGCTGCTAAAAAAGAAAAAAAAAAGAAAGAGTGGGGGCGATAAAAGACAGCCGAACTATTAACCCGCTATTAATGCATACGGATTAATAAAAAAATCACTTTCAGTGCGGGATATAGTTCCCCTCTATTGTAATTTACAGAAGTAACCCGTTATCTGAGCTATCTCTATCCATGTCCAGGACTGTACAGCAGAGTAGCTCGGCTGCGCGCACGCTTGCGCGCACACACACACACACAAGTAAAACGCAACACGAGATAGTTTAAAGCACCTACATGTCAAACTGGGTGCCATATTTGCAGCTGCTTATAAAGAAGAAGAGGAGGGACGGTAGAACTCCGGTTCTCTCCATCCACTTCCTCCTCACCTTTTCACCTCCCTGTAAAGTTTTAACCGAACTCGCCACAGCGAGCTCTCGCATCCATCCTCCGGAAAGTTACAGTTACATCTCCTCTCACCACAACCGCCACCTCTTTCGCATGACAGCGGCTTTCTGACATGAGAGAGAGAGAGAGAGAGAGAGGGGGGGGACACATGCAAATGAAGACCGGAGGGATAATAAGGTCCTGAAGCTGCACACCAGTCAAGCAGAATAAAGAAACACATAACAAACATGGACTCCCCCGCCGGAGGCTATGTATTTGATACCCGAGGAGCTGGTTTTTGTAGTGCAGTCAAACGAGGAAGAAACTAAGCCACAATATCCTGTTATTAACAGCTCGAAATAAGGCTATCCTTCTGTTTATATGCTGCCTAACTCCATTTAGCAGTTTGAATTAACGACAAACGCAGCTTGTGTCTGACAGGCTGTGATTGACGGATGGAACCTGATCATTCTGGAACTTTCTCCTGTTAACTTGCACTTTGCACTGAACGTCAACTAACGGTCGCTATCTAAAGAAATTGGGGAGAAAAAAAACTATTGAGAATAAAATATTACTTTATTTGAATAAATGTATGTAAGTTTGGATGAAAAAAACAACACGTTAGGAGAAGGAATGCAGCCGGTTGGCTCTAATTTCATGAATGAATATAACGGAGCAGTCCTCCATTGCTTTTGTCTTTATCGCCGTTGAACCGTGTCAGACGGATAAATGAGTGCTCGTTTCAAAGACTTTAACCCGCTGACGACCTTTCAGCGGCCGCAGCGGTGGCCTCGGTCTCTCTACCATCAACAGAATCCCCCTTTGGGAATACAGGAGTCGTTCCAGTTCACTGCACCGGTGGGCCTCTCTCAATCACCGAGCCCCGCGTGCGTGCAGCGGCCGCCCCCAGGCGTTCCTTCGGCGGCCCGCGCTGCTGCACGTCTTGGCGAGAAGTGTGGAGGCTTGGGGGTGGAGGGGAGTGAGGAGGTGGAGGAGGGAGGCTGCTGCTGCGCACTAACAAAGGCGGGGGAGACAATAAAATCAGACAGAAACCTAGCTTATCAAATTGTGGCTGCGCTTCAACGCTTTAGTGCTTTCTCTTCAAACAGAGGCAGCTATCTCCATCTTTTCTTCCTGCAGAAATAAACCCAGGTCGGTTTGTAGGCTAAAGTATAAACTGTGAGTGGTGGGATCATAGACATGTGGGCAGGATAGACAGACTTTATCATCATTTACTCCTTGAAAGGAAAGAAGAGATATTGTAATGTAATTTTCTAAGTTATGCTACACACAAATGTTAGTTTTTAATGAGAATTTCCTTCCTAAACAAAGTTTGATGGCTCCAGTTAGGCCAGATTAAATTTTTTACTACTCAAATTAAATAGATAAATACAAAAAAATAACAAATTGTGCCGAAAAATTTGTGCAAAAATAGCCCAAGCTCAGTCATTCTCCACAAAGATCCTCATAGACAAACTTTATTGTCATTTTGTATGCACAGAGTGTACACAAAACAAAACAATAGATTGGCAGCTTACAACAATGAAATTAAATTAACCATTTATAAAGTGCTGCAGTGATCAAGAATATAAACTGTGTAGGAGAAAAGAACAAAAAACTTTAAAAGTCGTGGTGTAAAAGGTGTTGCTATGGAAAGGTTCACTGCGGTGCAAAATAAATAAATATGGTGCAAAATGCAGTAGAAGATTTTTTGTTTTATTTAAAGGGATTATGAAAAAAATATATATCAGCCATGTTGGAAGTATATGATGTTTTCAGTCTTGATTTAGAGTTTTAAAAGTTCAACAGTCTGATGGTAGAGAGGAAAAAGCTGTTGCAGAACCTGCTGGGCCTGCAGCGGATGCTGCAAAGCCTCCACCCAGAGGGCAGCAGGGACATGCAGCCCTGGGATGAAATATCTTTAATGGAGGGAAGCTTTTTTGGGTTGGTCTAGACTTTCAGAGAGTTATTCTAACACATAGATATGCTCTTAATACTGTTTATTCCCTAGATTACTCTATATTTACATCCATTAGCATCTCCCCAATGGAATTGCTGAAGAAAGCATTCTCACAACATGATGGTGCCACCACTATGCTTCATATTGCTCATGGTTTATTCTGAGGGATTAGGCATGTTAGTTTTCTGACACTAGCATTTTAATGTCGACCAAAAGCGTCAACTTTAGAGGTAGGCACCTTGTTTTTTAGGGCTCCTGTCATCTACATGGCTACTGGTGAAGCAATAGATTTTTTTGCCACTCTTAGGTAAATATTGGTGTCTTTTTAATAGGTGAATGTTGTTGCTTGCACTTAATATCACCAATTGATATTGAGCTGAATAGGGCTGAATACGCTGCATCCTCCTCAAATCTTTTTTTTTATTATTAATGCAATAATGTATGTATTTTTGGTGACCCTACAATATGCATGATATGTTCTGTCAAATTGAGTTGTGTTTTCTGGTTATTTTGTAATGCACCGTAAAGGTGATTACCACTGATAGCATCCTGGCTTGTTGTATCTGATACCACCTGTCAGATCTCCTTAAAGCTCCTTTTCCACACTAATTCAGCAAGTGTCACAGTTCAGATAAGGTCAGAGGTCACGGGGGGCCTCTGTGGGCTGTATCATTCAGTCTTTTGTTGGGAGTAATTAGGTTCATCTGGGATTAAGTGGTTTGTTTGGGATGCGTTTTGACAAGATTACCGGCTCAGTCCTAATAAGTGTTGTTCCTTTTAACGCCCTATCGAACCCAGATGACGACCCAGAGATATCAGACAGAGAGGTCCCGTGCAAGAAGAAGGGCCGGCCCAAGAAAAAGAAGGACACAAAGAAGAAAGAAAAGGAGGGAAAGCCGATCAAAACAAAGAAACGCAAGAAGATCGTAAGTTTGACAGGTGACATGTATGGGTTTTTTTCTTCCTTTTCAATGACCTGTTTGATCTTTTATTTTTATTTCCCCATCTATCCCTCAGGACAGCGATGTAGAACGAATTTCTGACAGAGAAAGAGACTATGGGGAAAACTCAGACAGCGTGGCCAGCGACTATGGCTCTGGTGAGAAAAAGAAAAAGAAGAAACACAAAGAAAGGAAGGAGAAGAAAACCAAGAAAAAGAAAAAGGATGACGGGGACCGAGACAGCAGCCAGGAGGAAACGACAAAGGTAAAAGATGCTCTTCGCCTCTCTGTCCGTCAGTGATTTGTCCTCGGAAATAGAGAAATAATTCCTCCCCTGATTGGTGGTCACTCCTCAGCAGCCGATAGAGCAGAAAACGTCTGCCCAGCTGGCAAAGGAGTGGGGTCTGGAGGATGTTGATCATACCTTCACAGAGGACGACTACAGGGAGCTCACAAACTATAAAGCCTTCAGCCAGTTTATGAGGTATGGATTAACTCCAAGCTGTTGGTTGCAACTGTGTGTGACATCAAGAGCAGCGGCTATGCTTTGAGGGAGTTATACAATATGCTTTCTCAGTTATGTTTGTTGATCATTTAAACTGCTTAAACCTCAACACCTCTCGCTCCTGATTTCATAGTCCTGAAATGTATCTCAAATTAACTCCATGAGTTGTATTGCATTGTTAGGAAAGCATTTCCTAAAATAATATTCATAGCTTATAGTTTAATAAATATAGGTTAAAAAAAAGCTTCCTGTCTATCAATATTGACCATTGAATCTTTAAAAGCCGCTATAGTAAAATCAAAGTTGAAACCTTTCAACTGAGAGCAGTGTCTGTAAGTGTGCCCCAATCTAGCTGTGGCTACACTGTGGCTAGCCACTATGCACTAATGTTTAACTATTTCGCCCTATATAAGTGTTGAAGCATATATAATAAGTGTGTTATTCCAGCTCTGTCATGGTGTTAACTTTTTAACACTTTTTTTAAACTCAATCTCATGCGAAACAATGTAGATTACATGCCCCAAAGCCCTTACTGCTGTAGTTTTAACGCTAGTTAAACTTAAGAAAACCTGTGTAACATCATCACAAGCAACTTTCTAATTTCTCTGACTTCAGCACACAGTTTGACCAAACTTTTATAGTTTTGGTCCATGTGTCCTCCAGCTTCCTTCTACAGTCTGAAATGATGACTATTAAGACAGATTTATGGTTGACATATCTACTGTCTAAGCCCCGAGGGGGTCCACGAGGGTACTGCATGGGGGTCGCAAAAGTTTTGATTGATTAGACTTTTTTTTTTATATTCCCCCCCTGCATTTTCTTCCGGTAATCGAAAGGACTTTAAATACACATTAACATGAATTCAACACACTGTAGTGAACAGAAAAATGGAGGCAGAAGAAGTCTTTCAGTCATCAATGCACACATTCAGTGATACACAGGAGCTCTTTCAAGCTGGTCACCGTTTCATTCACAACACCTGTCCCATCAACTAGGAATAAGAATCAGAAATACTTTAATAATCCCAGGGAGGAATTACTTTCATTACAAGACTCCATATGTAATAGAGTGACTATAGGACCAGTTTGATATAACACAATTTCATACATTATATAATTAAGGGGTCCCTGCTCCATCTCACCATCCGTTTGGGGGTCCTTGGCCTGGAAAACGTTGAAGACCCCTGGTCTAAGCATAACTGAGACATTCTCAGCAAAGGTTTTGCAGCATTATATACTCTATGCAGCATATCTCCACTGTACCCAGTATTCTAGCCTAGTCTAGGGAGAAGTGTAAAGCACCGATCGCAAGCTTAAAACACCATTACACTAGGGGTGAAGAAAAAAATCAATTTGAGCTCAAATCGCATTTCTAACATTTAAAGATTCAGAATCGATTCTCATTTTCTTTAAAAACGATTTTTTTTTTGTGGGTGCGGATGTGCCTTATCAGGCACCATAGTGTTTGGTGAAACCAATGAGCAGTGTTAGCTATGCACAGGCATGCAAGCGTTAGCCTAGCAGGCTACAGAGTGGTGTGTAGTGTTGTGTGAGCTACTGTGTTTGTTGCCGCAAAAGTATGGAGGATGAAGAAAAAGCAATTCAACCGCCTCCGCGGTCTTTAAAAGCAACCATTTGGAAACACTTTGGAGTTTACCTTCAACCCGGCCCGGGTAAGAAAGGGCTTGACATGACTCATGCGATTTGCAGAGATTGCAACGGTAAAGTTAAGTATTTCAGGAGTACTTCAAATCCCGGTTTTCATCACGAAAGACATCACCCACAGTTCTTGGTAGAATTGACCTTTCGGTGTTTACATTATTGCAATTGGTAAATAAAACATTAACAATTATAAAGTCTTTATAAATGTACTCTTCTTTCATGCCAGCAGACTGGAATAGATCCTGAGAATCGTTTTGGATCATAAATGAATCGTTTCTGAATCGAATCGTTTGGATTTAAAAGAATCGGAAAAAAATCTAATTGTGACCCCAAGAATCGATTCTAAATCGAATCGTGGGAATCCCAAAGATTCACAGCCCTACATTACACATAGATGAAGAAAACCCAGTTGGTTCCAACATTTCAGTAGTTCTTCAAAAGCTGTTAACCGTGGTGGTGGCAGTCATGAGATGTCTGAAGATATCTACCTTCCCCGGTAGGAGCTTTTGCTCATCTGCCGTGTTTTTCCACATGAAACTGTCCTGGTAGTTAGAAATTTTCAAGGTGGGCAATGCAGGAAAATCAGGTCCTAGTTAAAGCCACACAGAGGGGTAGGGAAGTTGAAATGACTCAATTCGAATGCATATCTCATGGGTGGGTATAAACCTTGCATAAACCAGCTGTAACCAGGGGGTTCTAAACTGCACAAATGTGTGTATGCAAACAATTAATCAATTTAAAATAAATTTTTTCATGAATGGTTTATTAGATTAGAATTTTTTCCATCCGATTAAATGATAATCACTGCTCAAAAGCATGAAAGAGGATTATGTGGTGGTAGATGTGTCCGATTGCTGTTTGTGTGTTGTTGAATTGTGCACATGTGTCAGTTCCCCTTCCTTCGCAAAAGTCCTCTACTCTGGAAACACCAAAAAAAGTTAACCTCACCCATTTCTAATGATCTCCAATCAAATCGTTCTGTATACGCGGTAAAAGGAAAAACATTAACTACTAAGACAATGTATCTTTCCATGCACCTGTTAATGGGTGACTTATTAAAGTAGACTAATAAACTCAAAATTGCCTGCATCAAACAGCAGCATATAAATTCAGAGCTAAAAACTTGAATGATGTAAAGTAATAAAAAAAAAAAAAAGAAAATAATAAAAATAATGACAAAATAAATAAAAGAAAAATCCTAAAAAAACAACAAAAAAGGAATTATACTTTTCAGGAACAGTGGTGCTTGCAAATACCTGCTCATAGGAAATGACGTCAGTCAGTGTGTTTAAATATATCTGCTAAATATATCTTAGCAGCTCTGAGCCCAGCAGGCAGTTGCTCGGCTCTGTGTATAAATTTACTAAAAATAACTGCTCTGACTTTGCAGGAAGGAGTTATATTGACATATTTAGTCTAATTACAAAGCATCACTTATCACAATGTGGCCAAATAAGTGCTGTGCTTATATTCTGATGGACCGCTTGTCCTCTTTATAGAAACTGTGTGATCTTGTTAGTTTGGTCAGGGTCACATGACATGGCTTGGATACTTTGATTGCTTTGTGTTGTGGCGGCACATGGCAGTCACACCAAACATTCAAAATTAGATTGATTCATGAAACTTAAGTGTGACAACCCAGATATGATGGGGATTCTTTAGTTTTTTTTATAGCTAGTGTGAATTTTACCCAGCTAAATGGATAAACCAGCATAGAGCCACAGAACTAGATTACATATGGTTTGAGTTGCTGCATCTTAATGGTGTTTTTCTCTCTCTTTCTTTTTTTTTAAACCCCAGGCCAATGATAGCCAAAAAGAACCCGAAAATCCCCATGTCGAAGATGATGACCATCCTCGGGGCCAAGTGGAGGGAGTTCAGCTCTAACAACCCCTTCAAAGGCAACGCCGCTGCCGTCGCAGCCGCAGCTGCCGCCGCCGCCGTTGCTGTTGCCGAGCAGGTCTCTGCAGCGACCGCCTCGCCCGAACCACCGCCTCAGCTGCCACCCATTAGAAAGGCCAAGACGAAAGAGGGCAAAGGTCAGCTATAGCTTAGATCTTCTTTAGTCTGAAGTGTTGCTTTATCGTGTAAAATGTTTAGAAGTAAAGAAATAATCTAGTTTGTGTTGTATTGCATTTATTACATTTATCCCATTGTGACTGGCCTTATTATCCGTGCAGGTCCTGGATATAAAAAGCGTAGTAAAAGTCCTCGAGTCCCCGACAAGAAGAAAGCCATTGCTAAGGCTAAAAAGATGGCCCCCATTCGTATTAAACTATTACCTATAGCTGGGAAGAGGAAAAAGAGCTGCTCTGTGAGTACCGTGTTTATATTCTGCTTGAGTGATGATACATATTCCCTTAGTGTATTTTTAACCTCATCGCTTGGCCTCTTGTTGTTTTCACCTGCTCTTTCAGAGCGAGGACATCGATGAGGACGAGTCTGAGCAGGAGGACTCCAGCGTTCACAGCTCCTCTGTTCGTTCCGACAGCTCCGGAAGGGTAAAAAAGAACAAACGGGGACGGCCCGCCAAGAAGAAGAAGAAAAGTAAGAACAAAACAGATTATAAAACATATAAAATGTTGTAGGTATGATGAGTTTTCAGGGATTTTATGAAATCTGTGATATTATAACTAATTTTCTTCAAGGTCCACGCTCGTTTAAAGGTTTCTCTGTAGTTTTTAGTCTCGCTACAGTTTCCTACAGCCCTGCTAATAAGATAGCAGAGGGACACAGCAGTGCCTCTCCCCCACCTGTTGCTGTGCCCGACTGGCTACAATAGGCAACATTTCAAAGAACAATGGCGACGCACAGAGCTTAAATAGTTTAAAACGGAACGCTGTTTTTTTTTATATTGGCCCCTTGATTTTACGTTATTACATCATGTTCTACTCACCCATATAAGTTTTGTGTCATTTGGAGCTGTTCTGAAGATATTCCGTTAGGTTAGATCCAAGTAACGTCTTCCTATGGGCAACGACTTGAAGGCACAAACTAAACTGTTCATAATTTATCATTTATGGTACACGAGCATTCATAACCTGTAGGCGAATCACTGTCCCCCAGACATCTGCGGTTATATTTTTTATATTTATATTTTTTAAGACAAAGCAGAGTGTGTATGACGTGATAAGAGTGTATGAGAGTGATAAGATTAGGGTTAACTGTGAATATACCAGCATTGTTTGGGAAATTAAAACCAGAGTAGAAAGATTTCAAATCTCTTGGTTCCGTTTTCCCGTGTGAACTGGATCTTTTCTTTTACGATCCTGTCATAGCGCAATTTCTCCTTATAGCCCACATCCTCTACGCTGCCATGTTGCCAGATTTACCTCAGATTAGTTATCTGTAGATGTCACTACCCAATCCCTACACGATCCCTACCATCAGCTCATTTACGCATGAGCAACCAGATATTCATCCAGGTTGCCATAAATAATATGATCATTGCACTAAAAGTACTTATTTCTATCCTTAACTCACTTAAGAATGCTAATACACATCTTTAAAACATTGTTTATGACTTTTCTGATACAATTTTAGTACTTTTTTTCTTCGTTATATTGCTTGTCTGACGTCATTATCAGACATGCTCACAGTCGTCCGGCAAAATATGAATAAAACCATATTTATTTATTTTTTTTAGTTTCTTTAGATTTTTTTTCTTTAGATTACGCAATTTATATACGGTAAGTTTAATACAAAAGGAAAAAATGAAACACAATTTAGGTTTTTTTTGCAAAAGAAAATGGAGGGCGACCCAGAGGTATATCTGGTTGCGAATGCGCAAATGAGCTGATGGTATGGATGGCGCTTCCGGTACGGATCGGGTAGTGACAATGGATGCATGGAGCTTTTTTTTTTTCTTTGTGTATTTCCGTGGCATTCTCACAGCGCCACCTGTGGGCCCGGCATACACACTACAGCATCTTCCGTGGCGCTGCATACACTCCCCTCGGCGCTCATTTTTCCAAATTGATTCTGAATGACATTGTTTTCATCTCTGTGTGGGCGGGGCTACCCTTCAGGGGAGTCACACGTACCTGATGGCTGGTCCTTTTAATGTATCCCTGTACAGACTGCATTCAAATCGCCAGACTTTTGCTGAAACAATTGCTAAAGACCACCTCTGAAGATGGAGGAAAGTGAATTGCTTTTAACATTTCTTGAGTTTGTTAAAATTTGTATTATTGGGAACAAAAAACGATGTTTTCTGCCTGCATCTTGGGATGAAAGTACTTTCCACTGTTTTTTCAGCAGTCATACAGTTTTTATGCCCTCGTTGCCTCTATTTGGATCTGTAAACTTTAAATGATTATATTATTTTCAGGGTTTCCAAGGGTCATTAAAAATCATTAAATTTCATTAAATTAGAATTTTTTAAATCAAGGCCTTAATTGGCATTAAAATTCATTAAATGTGTTTATTGTGGCATTTTAAATGCCTTTTTTTTTATAATTGTTTATAAAAAACTATTTCATCAAACATATTATATCACAATATATTTGTGTGGAACTGCTTCCGTTTGATCGCGAAGCCGTATGTTCAGAAAAAGCTAGAGAATGGGGGGAAAAATGCCAATTTCAACAAAAGTGGCTGGAAAACGAGGAATTCGAGACATGCCTGCAGCCTGTCGATGGGTACCTTTCATTTATTTATTTAGTTATTTTATTTTATTTTTTCCTACTTGCCTTGATTCTGTTTTATTTTAATATTTTTTTAGTGATGTAAAGCACTTTGCATTGTCTTTGTACCGATTTGTGCTATACAAATGAACTTGCCTTGCCTTGCCTTAGCTGTTGGTGCCATTAAAATGATTTCTAAGAGCATTAAAAATCATTAAGTTACAGTTGTTCATTCCTGTATAAACCCTGATTTTGTTCATCAGTGACTAGTAGAAAAAATAGAGAGCTTATCTTTGCAGAATTACTATAGTTTATTTTCATTGAAATAATTTGGACATTTAAGTGCTTGAATTCTTCCAAGTTCAACATTATTTCAACCATCAACATTATTTCAACCATCAATGAGTGCTTTATTCGCTCATATGTTAACGTTTTCTATGTTTTTATTTTTTTTTACTAATTGCCTGCCAATCTGTGGTTTTTTTCCTTTGTGTTTTTACCAAATGTTTCTGTTAAAAAGTCCTTTTCTTGCCATTTTCTTTCACGCCTGATCTAAAAAGAGGTATGGGAGAAATAAAAGGGTTTTTTAGGGCTTTATTTATTATGGATTCATTTTAACACAAGCACTGGTGAATAATCAGTTAGAAAATCAAATTGAGGAGGATTTTAAAAAGGAGGTCCACCTATTGAGGAGACTAAATAAAGGAACAACCTCTGTGTTAAAACACCCTAATATGTTGATTTTCAGGTGTGTCTAAATGAATTCTAATAATATGGTTTGTTTTTCTGTTTCCAGTTCCAGGTGAGGAGGAAGGTGACGGCTATGAGACCGATCACCAGGACTACTGTGAGGTGTGTCAGCAGGGCGGCGAGATCATCCTGTGTGACACCTGTCCCCGAGCGTACCACCTTGTATGCCTTGAGCCAGAATTGGACAAGGCTCCCGAGGGCAAGTGGAGCTGCCCGCATTGTGTGAGTACAACTTGCAGAGAGGGTCATCTGTCTTTATTCTCTATGCAGGATTCTGCTTTGGTATTTTTTTTTCCACCTCTAAGCTAATTTCCATTGAACAAGGAAAGTAGATAGGAAGGGACTCTAAATCATTGTTGCTTAACCGACTCTGGTATACAACACAAAAAAAGATATGCAAAATAGATAAAGCCATCTTTTGCAGCAACATAGTAGAGATAACAACGTCTGCTATGATTCGGTACCGGATGCATTCTGAAGATACTGATTTATATTTATATATATATATATAGTAAATGTGTAGCTATTTTCTTGTACATTAATTTGACTTGAATATGTTTTCTTGTTTTTTTCCGTTTTGCAAAGTGGCTGAAAAATATCGGCATCATTTCATATTTATTCTAATTCTATTTTAACAATTTTGCACCTACATGCATCTTTTAGCATCGCAGCCTGAAGCTCAGAATAAGCTGAAACACGCAGCTGGATGTAGATTTTATGATGGTGCTTATGTCAAAATCAAACAGTTAAGTTTTAAGGAAACTGCAGGGATAATAAACTACTTACTGTGGTTATTTGTGTTGGAAAACATGTAAAGTTTATAACAGTAAGAGCGTAGCATGAGATTTTATACTCAATTGTCCCAGTTTAACCACATGGATACATATTTGTATTGAGGAGAAACATGCACATGTCCTCTGGCTTAGGGTTGCAGAAGGCAGGTGGTGTTTTTATTTATTTGTTGAGCGTCCAGGATGGTTTGACATGAAGCATTGATCTATTTTTCCTGAGCTCCTTGCAGAGTCTTAAAGGCTGCAGTGAGGATCCACTGAATACTGCTCAAATTTACACCTTTATTTAGCCTCAAGGGTCCTACTATCTCTGCTGCCAAGATAAAGAAATATATGTAAATACCTTTATTGTCCCACAGTGGGAAAACTAACTCTGCATTTAACCTCTTAACATCCACCACATTTTGGGTAATCCTCGCCTATTTTACATAACCAAATGGAAAAGCAAATAACTTAAAAACTGTAAGCCCAAATTACATGTGCAAAACATTATTTGAAAGCTAAAACCCTCTAGTTTCCTTATATATAAATTAAAATAGGGTGAGTAAAACACAGACCAACCTGCATCAGTTCAAACATGACTCAAAGTTTTTTTTTTTTCTTATTCTCGAAAATGATAGGTCTTTTTTGAACAGCAGTAATAAATACATTCTTGAGAAAAAGCAGGTTTTATTGCATTGTATTTGTTCTACATCATGTCAACCACAAATCCAGAAAATTTCAGACCTCTAGCCAAAACAGTTCCAGATCTGTGGGGATTGGAACTTTTGGTGTCAGCTTGGAGTTGAACGCAATGGCTCCACCTGCTGGAATTTTATGCATTCTGAGTTATTACCCCCACTTAAGAGGTTAACCCATCCCCTTGGGAAGCTGCCATTGTGTGTCGCCCAGGGAGCAGTGTGGGGTTAAGGGTTTTTGCCCAGGTAACCAGAGTGGAGACTGAGGGGCACAAACGCTCTGCTCTAACCACTAGGCCATCACTCCCCCTGACACCAAATGACCCCAACTATGTATGATGTTTTTCATTGTTCATGCAGGAAAAAGAAGGAATCCAGTGGGAGGCAAAAGATGACGACTTTGAGGATTTTGAGGAGGACAGCGAGGACAGAGTGATATCCGAGGTCAGCATAGGGGTCCCCACCAGCACAGAGGAAGAGGAGGACGACCACATGGAGTTCTGCCGGGTGTGTAAGGACGGCGGAGAACTGCTGTGCTGCGACACGTGCACATCCTCCTACCACATTCACTGTCTGAACCCTCCGCTGCCCGAGATCCCCAACGGCGAGTGGCTCTGTCCACGATGCACGGTCTGTCCTCTCTGCATTAAATTAGCTTTTTTTTTTATTGATTTATTAACACCACAAATCTGAGGAATTGTTAGGGGGGGGGGCAGCATTTAGATCTGATTTGTCCGATTACTTCATCCCTGTAGTGTCCTCCTATCAAAGGAAGGGTTCAGAAGATCCTCCACTGGAAATGGGGCGAACCACCTCCTCCCATTCCCGTCCCACCGCCTCCAGACGCACCTCCTGACGCCCCTCCGCCTCCGCCTATGAAGGGCAGAGCTGAGAGGGAGTTTTTCGTTAAGCTGACCAACCAATCATACTGGCACTGTACCTGGATCACTGAGCTGCAGGTAATATAACCCTAAAAACACCTTTAAGAGACACACATTTATCAGGATTTTTTTATTTCTTATTTTTATTACCTTTCATCCTTCAGCTGGAGATCTTCCACTCAGTGATGTACAGAAACTACCAGAGGAAGACAGATATGGACGAACCCCCCAGCCTGGATTACGGGTCGGGGGCAGAGGACGAGAACGGAGGGGGTAAGAGCGAGAAGAGACGGGCCAAAGATCCCCAGTACGCCCTGCTAGAGGAGAAGTACTACAAATACGGCATCAAACCGGAGTGGATGATGATTCATCGCATCATAAACCACAGGTACGAGTCATTAAAGCCTGTGAGACAGCTGTGTCTCTCTTTGTGGAACAAATGCTCACTGCCCTGCACGTGTCCCTCGTATCAGTGTGGACAAAAAGGGGATGTATCACTACCTGGTAAAGTGGAAAGATCTGACCTATGACCAGTGTACCTGGGAAAGAGATGACATGGATATACCTGAGTTTGAACTCCACAAAGCCAACTACTGGAGACACAGGTAGGAATCATGCTGATACGCACTGCCAATGCTACGTGAAAGCACATTTCCACGGCCTGTTGTTTTGGTTCAACAGGGACAGCATCATGAAAGAAGACCCTGATAAACCCAGGAAGATGACGAGCAAAGAGGGAGACGGTGAAGAGGAGTCTCCTCCTTCCCCACTCACAGATGTAAGGCTGCCATCTGTTTAGTTTGCCTAAAACATGGCCGTTCTCTAAGCGTCTCTTAGTTGCTGTCACTTAATGCAAACAAGCCTTTTATAAACAGATTATAATAATATTAAGAGGCACACCGACTGATTTAAAGCCAAATGAATACTTGGTTATATATTGTTGTTGAATTGACTCAATGTTTTTATCGGCTCCAGCCAACCATCAAATATGAGGAGCAGCCTGACTTTGTGACAGCGACAGGCGGCACCTTGCATCTCTACCAGCTGGAGGGGCTCAACTGGCTTCGGTTCTCCTGGGCCCAGGGCACAGACACCATCCTGGCAGATGAAATGGGCCTCGGCAAAACCATCCAGACAATCGTCTTTCTCTACTCGCTGTTTAAAGAGGTACAGATGATCAGCTATCCTAGCACTTTAGTGGTACCGTAGGACACTAACGCCGTGTTCTGTATTTCTTCAGGGCCACACTAAGGGTCCTTTCCTGGTCAGTGCACCCCTTTCCACTATCATAAACTGGGAGAGGGAGTTTGAGATGTGGGCTCCCGATTTTTACGTGGTGACGTACACTGGAGACAAAGACAGCCGAGCTATCATCAGAGAGAATGAGTTCACATTCGATGACTCCATCAAAGCAGGAAAGAAAGCCTTCAAGCTGAAGGTGGGAAGGCGTTAAAAACCCCCTAACAACGGCGACGTCTTTCAGAGAACCAGATGTTCATTCTTCTTCTGTTGTTTCCCTTGCTGCAGCGCGAGGCTCCCATTAAATTTCACGTCCTTCTCACCTCCTATGAGTTGGTGACTATAGATCAAACGGCACTGAAGTCCATCGACTGGGCGTGTCTGGTGGTGGATGAGGCTCATCGCCTGAAGAACAACCAGTCCAAGGTACCAGCCCTCAGTTTGTCCCTGTAGGGGTGGTCTGTAATAATCCACAAGTTATAAAGAAGTATTGTTTCTTCCTCTGTCATTTACTGCTAAACAATGACATATGTTTGTCTTTTGTAGTTTTTCAGGCGTCTAAATGACTACAAAATTGACTACAAGCTGCTGCTGACAGGAACTCCTCTACAGAACAATCTGGAAGAGTTGTTCCATCTGCTCAACTTCCTCACACCCAATCGCTTTAAGTATGACTTCTTGGGTTCATTCATTTCTTTCCCTATCAGACATTTCATAAAGTGAGATATGATTGCCTCTTTTACACGGTGAAGCGTTTCCTCTATGCAGCAACCTTGAGGGCTTCCTGGAAGAGTTCGCCGACATCTCCAAAGAGGACCAGATCAAAAAACTTCACGACCTCCTGGGTCCTCACATGCTACGGAGACTCAAGGCCGACGTCTTCAAGAACATGCCCGCTAAGACCGAGCTGATCGTCAGAGTGGAGCTGAGCCCCATGCAGAAGTATGCGCCAGAAAACCCAGTTTACTTATTAAATGCAAAGGGGTGTAACAGCACCAAGCATTTACAGAACTGAAGTTGCTCACAGGTACAAGCAGTCAGATAAATGATATATCAATAACAGCAGAGTACACAGGTTTTTATGAGCTTTTTAGAAGTAATACAACTATGGCTGAAACAATTATTAATAAATTGTCGAAATAATCCTCAACTAATTTAGTAATCGATTAATCATTAACTGGAGTATAGAGGCTCTAAAATGTGCCTTTAGCTGACAGAAAAATCAAGTTAGAGCTACCAAGAACTACTTAAGTGGAAAAATTTAGTATCACCTGGTGTAATTCCGTAAAAAATGTTCTTTAAGGAACCTTTTGCGGTCCAATTAATGGAAAAAATTATCGACTGATTAATCGGTTAGAAAAATAATCAGTTGCAGCAGTCATTGTGCAACACACTTCACACCAAACTAATGCAAAAGTGGATAGGTTTTTTTATTCAACGGTGATGGACGATGAATAAGACATAACTAGAGGTTATGGCAAGACATTTACATGATTTATTATTGCCCCATTTACACTACCCCTAGAAAATGATCTGAGTTTGGACAGAGCTTGGTTCATTTAACCATGCCAAGCTTGGTTCTTACAACCACTCACACATCACTAGCATGGTTGCTTGCCTACTATTGGCCGTCCACCATACTACAGCTCTCAAGGCGGGAATCACACAAACAAAAATGGTGCCGCCCATAACATTCAGGAACTTATGCGCATGGATAGCGTCCTCCACCCAATTTTCATCGAGAGCCTCAGTTTTAGCATCGTCCCAGGTAGCACCACGCTCTTTTGATGCCATTCATTGTTAATAGGCGGAGAAGAAGTCTGACAGGGTGAAAAGATCTGTGAATTACAAAGCAGACACGGCAAAAACCTGCAAAATGAGTCGGCTGACTGTAAATAGGAGATGATGCGGTCTGCTTATGCGCTCTTTGTTATCAGAGAACCGAGCCACCACTGACCCGTGCGGAGCCCATTTACACTACCTTTTTGAAACTGTGCCGAGATCGGTCCCAGCAACCGAGATAACTGTTGAGTGTAAATTGCAAGCAAAAACTGAACCAGACAGTATCAGACCCAACTGAACAGCTCTAAACTGGTACTAGTTCATCAATAGGGCTCGGCACGGTTCGCAGATAACAAAAAGCGCATGAGCAGATCGAGTCCTCTCCTATTTACAGTCAGCTTCCAGTTGCTTGCCAACCGCCACAAAACAGAAGAAGAAGAACTGTAAACAATGGGCGGAGGACGCTATCCAGGCGATGTTAGACAGAACAAAACATGATCACAAAGTAGTACCGTAGATCGTCACTAGAAGGCGAGGATGTGTAAACAGTCATAAGGAACCGAGCTTTGCACCGTTAACTGATCCAAACTCAGTCCGATCTCGGCAATGATCAGTTTTAAGAGGGCTACTGTTGAACTAGTACTAGATTTAGCACGGTTCAGTTGCGTATGGCATGGTCCAATTCCGTGCTCGGACTGTTTTCGGCACAGTTTCAAAAGTGCCTAATGGAATAAGTGAATTGCACATTGCAGACAGCTCCATGCTTTATGGGTATTTCAAATGTTTTGGCTACCAAGAAACAAAGTCCAGTGAATTTTAAACATTTTTTCTTTTATTGGAATGCAATGAAGAGATTATGATCTGGACCATTTCAGCTGCTGCAAAGCTGATGATTTGTAGCATTTTTTTTAGTCACCATGGATTGCCTGTTACAACCAGGATTGTGTACTGAAAATAGACAGAAACTGGCTGCCCTTTTATATGCTGCATCAGTACAGAAACTACTGCTGGTATTAACAAAGGAAAAAGGAGGGAGATACTGTAAAAACAACGTTTTACTGAACCATTCCCATAAAATATAAAAAGTGCTGTCAATTACCTGTGATTTAATGTTAATATTATGAAAGGTGATCATTACTGCCCTGTAAAGGGATCTAAAGCACTACTTCAAGAACTTCTGACACATAATTCAGTTGAATTTTGACAGGCATGATGGGCGATATTGCAGACATAAATGCGTGAAAAGGACAAATGAACCACTTTAGAATTCAGGGTGGTTTCACGATATTGAACATAAAAATAAATGTGTGCAAGTTAGACTGGTTGGTTGGACTCTGGAGCCTTGCAATGGTGTTTTTTGCCATACTTTACGCTTATAACAACCAAACATACCACAAAGCGCACCTGTCATATTTGTGTACGTCTCTTAAGGCTTAAAACCTCTAAACAAGTTTCTGTAAGACTTAACTTTCACAGTTCACTGCCTGTACTAGCATACATATTTCAGCGGTTGGGGTTGCCAAAGCTATTGACCGCGGTTGACCCAACAGGTGCAGAAGCGTTGTACACCTCGCTTATTTTCATAGGTATATCCCAACAAGAATATAATGAGGTTGAATTAAATCCCTGGATCTTAGGTTTCAGTTTTCTTATCTCCGGTGTAGAACTTTATTGACAAAACATTTGACCAAATAAATAACTTTAAACAAAGCATCTCTACAAAGTTGACTTAGAAGTCATTTCAAAACAAAAAAGCTTTTAATTGGGCTATGAATAAAAATATAGAAGTTCAAATAAATATAGTTGAAGTAAAATATTCTGATGCAAGTTATTTTTCTTATTATTTGCGTATTTTAAAGGTATAGTGGAGGATGTTGTTTACGTAATGATGCTGCAACCTATGGACAGAACACAAAACAGTCTTCTGCTTGTTCTAGTAGTGCGCATACCTGACAAGGTTTTTTTTTATTTTTATTTCCCTTTATCTTGATTAATGCTTTAATTGTTTGCTAGGTCGGATCCATTTAACATGTATGCACTTCTGCAGAAATGGTAGCGCGGTATCTTCTAACCTGAAGTAAATTACTGAAAATAGGCTCCAGGCAAATAGATGCATCGGTGCTAAACTACTGAGGTGTCAATCTGCTCATCAAACAGTGTTTTAGTCATAAAGGGTTAAATAAAAATACTATTTTAAAGATATTTTTCAGTAAAAACAAACAAAATATTGTTATTATTTTGTAATAAAAGAAGGTTCTCAAAGGGGATTATTTAATTGAAACTGGATCCTTTATTTTTTTTATGTTTTTAAATAGAAAGCAGTTTAGTACAAAATAAGTCCTCTCACCCTGCAGCCTTCCTTACTAACATTGATGGTTATTATTTTTTTCTATTCCACTTTAAAACGGAAAATATACCAATCATTTGGCATTTGCTTGTTTTTTTTCCCGCTCATCTGTGATTATTTTCCAATTAATGGCCTTGTCATCATGCTTTTAAACACAGGAAGTACTACAAGCTGATTCTGACCAAGAACTTTGAGGCTTTGAACTCCAAAGGAGGAGGAAACCAGGTGTCTCTGCTCAACATCATGATGGACCTGAAGAAGTGCTGCAACCACCCGTACCTCTTCCCCGTCGCCTCCATGGTGAGCGCAGAGACAAACACAAACAAACATGAGAGGAATTTATGCTAAATCCGAGCTGTTCACCCCTCCTAGAAACTAGAAGGTTAAAGCTGCTTGTTAAAATAACTAATAAACCTGTTAATGGCTCCACAGGGACATCTGGTGGTTATATATGTTACTGTTTCTTTCTAAGTTGAATTAGAACAGTGGGTATTTAGTTTCTCTTTTCTTACCTTTTTTAACTAAACATAATATTCTATATTATTGATTGTGTGTTTTTATGATGATTTTTATCCGTCTGGCTCCAAAATCACATCTGAAAATCATATAATAACTTCATACTTGTGTCTGCAGGAAGCCCAGAAAACCCCCAGCGGAGCGTATGAGGGATCAGCCCTCACAAAGGCTTCTGGGAAACTGACGCTGCTGCAGAAGATGCTGAGGAAGCTGAAAGAACAAGGCCACAGAGTGCTGGTCTTCTCACAGGTAGCACACACACAGACCTGGTGATAAACATAAAGAAAAAACACAATAAACTGTTTGAGAATCACATTTTCTTTGTTTTTTTTAGATGACTAAAATGCTGGATTTATTAGAAGATTTTCTGGACTATGAGGGTTACAAATATGAGCGAATCGACGGGGGCATCACAGGCGCTCTGAGACAAGAAGCCATAGACAGATTCAATGGTAAGACTGGAGGGTCTTCATCACACGGTAGGGATGGAAATGTCTATTCAGTCTACAAGGACATGCGTGATCGTAGGATAAGGATGGAAACAAGATGAGATCCAAACATTATTTCGTAAACACAAATTAGTCTTTTTTTTATCACAATGTGTTCTGAGTCCTACACGTTTCAAGCAGGAATCAATCTAAGGAGATTCTAATACCAAAAAGCTAATTAAAATACATGTTTTAGAGGCAGTGTTTTAATAAACATCCGTTCAGATTTAAGAGGATTATCCACTCTTGGGCTAATTGCTGTTTTTTTTTATTCTGAATTAGAGATAATACAGTATAGATAATTTAGAATAAAGTAAAATATCCCTTTACTGTTTCTCCACATCATATCCTAACTTCACTGTCCTTCATCATGAATTTCTCCATGATGATTAATGTTTATCAAGTTCAGTTCAGTTCAGTTTATTTCTATAGCGCCATTTCACAACATGCCATCTCAAGGCACTTTACAGTTCAACCAGATCATACAGTCAAATTGATTCAAAGTTTTGTATCTAAGGAAAACCAATTGATTGCATCGACTCATTGACTCAAATACAATCCCTTTCACTAAGCATGCTTGTAGCGCCAGTGGAGAGGAAATACTCCCTTTTAAGAGGAAGAATCCTCCAGCAGAACCAGACTCAGTGTGAGCGGCCATCTGCCGAGGCCGACTGGGTCAAGTCACGTTTTAAACAATATGCAAGCAGTGTGAAATAATTCATAATAAGTTTGGTTTGGTTGAAGTTTTTTTAGATTTTTAGCTACATTCAGCGAATCAGATGCCAGCTTTGGTGCGATAAACAGACTCAGGTACTTACTGTTATGTTTCCTGTCGGTGCTGAAACACAAAGATGTATAAGTAACAGTGCAGAATGTATTAAGCAAAATCAAGAAGTTTAGTTATTTTTGCAAAAGTTATCATGAAAGCCCAGGAATTAACTATTAGAAATTAACCTGATGAAAGCCGGAGATAAAATTAATTCTCTGAAAGAGACTGCATCACAGAATCATCAAACCATTTCCATTTTAGTTTTGTTTTTAAATTTTATCTTCAATCAAATAAAACAAAGGTAGAAATGAAGGTGAAGCTTTTTTTTTTATAATAAACACCATCAGTTTAACCGTTCGCTGCAAGCTGGATTGTTGAGAGATCTGACTTTTAAGTTTCACAGAAAATCCATCTTGAAAGACTCCCACTAATACGTCCTTCTCGTAACAACCAGCGAGTCGGACCAATGACATGCCAGCAGTGTTTTTGGGGTCGGGATATGTAGGAAAGATGACAGTCAGAAGGGCCTTGCTGGGGCATAACAAACATGGCTGTCGATACTGCAATGATACTTTCTTAGCTAGAATAGTGACAATTTCTCATTTAAAAAAGGAGCAAAGAGAAGCACTTTGTACATTTGTGGATGGGAAAGATGTCTGTGCTTTTCCTCTGACAGGGTTTGGAAAAAACTTTCATTTATCAGCTTACTCAGCTAGTTGTGAAAACACTCAAGAAGCTGCGGACGAATCTTATTGTTATCATTGTGTCTCCGTTGGTGACTCTCATGGACGATCAAGTTGCATGAAAGCGATTGGCTGAAAGCGTATTATGGAAGGCGGGTACCAGCTGGCACGTCACCCAATCGGCTCGAAGTATTGTACCAAATGTCCCTCTTTTATATGGATAGACTGAATGCAGCCGTCCCCAATTTATAACGTAGAACTCAACTCAGTACTCCACATATCAGTCTGGATACTGCCAGATCAACATCAGACCACATACTAAGAGGAATGCCTGATGCTTCTCAGGAAACCATAAAAGTCTATTTTCCGACGCTCAGGGTCTAAATTGTATAAAGTCAAGAATAAATCTGGGGAAAATAAAAAAAGATAATAAAAAGATGTAGTTAAATTGATCCGCGTTTGGAAAAGAGAACTAAAAATTAAATTCAGTTGTTTTAAATATTATTGTCAATTATGCTTCAAAGGGGAGTTAAACAGTATTTTACTGTACTTTATATCACATCCAGTTTCATCTTTTTTTATGCTTGATAAAACTTTATGAACATAATGATCAGTTTTTGCATAGCGTACCAAGTATATAGAGATACCAGCTGCATGTTCCTACTAGCTACAGATAGGCATCCTTCATTTAAAGGAGCAGAAAGTGATAAGGACACCTGGTGTTTTAATACTTTTGAAGGTTACTGAGGCTTTGTTGAGACTATTTCAGCTCTGCTTCTCTTACTTCCCTTAATTTTTCAAGCCCCTGCTTTTTTTGTCAGCATCAAATACTGAATGCAGCAGAACATCCTGCTTTAGTTGTCCTGGCAACTCTGATATGATTGGCTCATAAAGGTAAACATGAGCTACCCGCGGTTCTCAAAGTGTGTGGCGCGACCCACTGGTGGGGAATTGAGACGTGACAGGTGGGGCGCGCCAAGTTCCGGTGTGTGTGTGTGTGTGTGTGTGTGTGTGTGACTATAAATGTAGAACGTGTGAGAGCAAACTGTCCTTATAGCTGTATGTTGCCGCTTTTTAGACCAATCAAACCCACAAAGTAATCCTTACTAGCCTACATGCAGTCTAATTAAAAGAACATTAGATATGAGAAAAATTTCACCTGGAACTGAAGTGCCAAAATAATGATTGACGTGACGTCAGCATATTATTTGTAACGGAATAAACTTTCTCGCCCCAGTGTTGCCAACTCAGCGACTTTGTCGCTATATTTCAGACCCCTCCAGCGACTCTTTTTCAAAAAAGCGACTAGCGACAAATCTAGCGACTTTTGGAGACTCTTACGGGAAAGCACGTATCGTTCCTTTTCTTGTCATCCAGCGGCAGGTGCTGCCGTGGGGCGCCTCCTCCCTCCCAACCCCGTTCTCCCCCGCTATCGCAGGAGTCCCTCTCAGCGCTGCAGTAAGGGACACAGCATGTTTAACTTTAGCGTCCAGACTGCAAATAAAGCGCACATGCGCCGGGATTGACGGCGCAGGTTGATCATAAATAACTGAATTTGAAATATTTTATCTTAAATAAATAACGGCGTTTGATTCACACAGCCACATGTTCATGTTTCTGGTTTGGAGTGGAGAGGGAGTATCCACTCATCGGGCAGAGAGCTGTGTGCATTCTTCTTCCCTTTGCCACATCATATCTCTGTGAGATGGGCTTTTCAGCTGTTGCTTCACCGAAAACAAAGCATGACTTGAGAGTGGCAGTATCAAGGCTGCAACACCGTTTTGAGAAACTGTGCAATGCAAAACAGGCTCATTGCAGCCACTAATGCAGGGATAAATAGACCTGCCTTGCCAGATGGATTTCACTTCTTTTCTTTTATTAACAGATTGCAGAGTGGCACTTAAATTTTTTCTATCTTTGAGCTTGATACAAATTTTGACACAGCTGCATTTTTATTTTCTTTATTTTTGAGCTTGCTGTTATTTGATGTAGATAGTTTGTATTTAGATACTACTTGTTACTTCAATAAAATTGGAACATTTTAAGATTGTTTCATATTTCATTAGCATTGTGTTGGGGCGATGGGGACAGGTGGGGCTTGAAAATTCCCCCTTGTCCAAAGTGGGGAATGACAGAAAAAGTTTGAGAACCACTGAGCTACACGCTGCACTGCAGTAGTTTAGCATCTTATCTCTGAGGTTTGAAAGGAGAAAAACTTGACTAAGACACGGTTGATGGAGAGGACTGCTTAAAGGGAAAGTTACCTCCATCCTAGATTTAATCCTACAATTATTTTTCTTACTGGTTGCTTCCTTAAATGTGAAACTCCCTAAAATGTTGCCCATTAAAGCAAAAATGCAAAATATGATGTTCCTCAGTGAGGTCTAGAAGCACAAGATCTAAATCCAGGCAACAGCAAAGATCCTGCTACATGGCTTATTTTGGCATTTGACCAATTAATGAGCCCTTGAATGATATATTACCTTCTGTAAACTGAGTTGGAAAAAAGAGTTAAAAAAAAATAAAAATATTAAAAAAAGGTAAAAACCTAACTGAAAAGTTAAAAAGTTAATAAGCCTAGTTAACAATTATATTTAAGTTTATAAACTAAAAAATGTAAGTGCCAGTATCAGCATTAATGCCTCTAAGGTTATGTTGTACCAAAAAAAATGTGTTTCTTCATGAATTTTTCAATTTTTCATGAATTTCTTACAGAAGCAATATATTTGGGAAAGTTGGCGTTTCTTGTTATAAATCGACATTAATTTTTGCCATCAAAGTATCCAAATTTTTTTAATGTTAAAAAGGTAATGAGGTCTTGTCCTGGATTCCAATAACACTATTGTCTTGAAATTTTGATTTTCCCTGGGTGCCCTTTAATGGGTTAAAAGAGAAAAATAAATATAAAATAAATATAAAAAAAAAACAACAATATTACATTATTTAGATTTTAATACATAGATTAATACATATATTTGAATACATAGCGATAGCACAGAAAAAGTTGGTTGATTTTAAATGATGCAAGTTTTGCAGGAAATAATCCCCTTTTTCCCAACTTGTTCGTATAACAAGGTGATATGGGGTGTTTAGTTATAAATAGTTATAATAGTTTCCAGACTGTTGGATTAATTACAGTATTTATTAACTCTTCTTTAGTTTTTCAGTCAAAAGCAAAAAAATAGTAATAGATTAGTTTTACATGGTGAAAGAAGTGCATCTTTAACAATAAAAGGGAGGGACAGAGCTGCGTTACTGTATGATCCGGTTAATTTACATTAACAAAACTTTAGACCAGGGAGATATGGACTGAAAATCTTATTATATTTGGTGGTAGAATCAGAATAAACATAAAAGTGAGGATGAAAAAAACTATCATTCCTTCTTCACTCTTTCTTAGGTCACTGTATGACTTAGATCAGCTTATTAATTCCCACAATTTGTTTGAGCTGCGAAGAAGGCAAACATAAATTATCAGGGGGGTTGGGGTGGGGAGGAACATAAAGTATGAAATAATACGACGAGGAGCTTGGTGATCAATCGTAAAAATAATAAACAAATACAACACAGCTTCAAAGCAGACCTACTGCAGATAGTTTTCTGGAATAAAAGATTTGCACACAGGTTTGTTTTACAGTCTGGGACGTCCAGGTGAAGAGAGGATCACAGCGTTTTCTGCAGTTTGGTCTTTACAAAAAAAAAAAGTGCATCTGGTTCACTCCTGATTTTAGGACAGATTTTAACAACACGACTCAGATGGTTCTTGTCTTTTAATGTGAGGCAATTATACCAACATCAAACTGAACCAAGATGCTTATAAGAGAAGACCTGCTAAGTTCCTTCATTATGAATAAAAAATTTGTTTTTTTGTTTATTTTTATATTTTTTTTCATTTAAATAAAAAAAAAACATGATTTGTTGAGAACTATATCAGTGTTTCCGCGGGTCATTAAAAATCATTAAAAGTCATTACATAATTATTTTTTTAATTTAAGGCCTGATTTGGCATTAAAATTCATTAAATGCGATGATCTTGGCATTTAAAATGCTTTATTTAAAAAAAAAAAAAAACGTACTTTACTAAACAATACAGTATATATATTTGCAGAACTGCTTCGGTTGATCGTAAAGCCATATGTTCGGAAAAGAAGCTCGCTCTGGAGAAAAGGCTAGAGAATGGGAAAATGCTAATTTCAACAAAAGTGGCTAGAAATTGAGGAACTGCAGCCTGCCGAAAGTTAAGATGAAGGATCAGAGTCATGGGTATTTGTTGATGGCATTAAAATTATTTCTAAGAGCATTAAAAGAGCATTAAAAAGCATTAAATTAGAGTCAATCATTCCCGTATAAACCCTTTATATGAATTTAAAATAGGCTCCTTCAGCAAAACAATTACATGAAGAAGCATAATTTATATCACTAAATATCCCAAAATTACCCAATTTAATCATATTCTTTAAATACGCCAAACCTCCGATGAAAAAAAAAAAAAAAAAAGACAAAGGAGAAAAAAATAAATATTCATTGGATTCATCATTTAAATCAGATGTGAAATCTATCTAATTAATGATAAATGCCCATATTTACTTTAAGCTGTAATAGCAAAATAAAAAACTTTAGTGATTCTGTGACAGTTTAAGTCTTCACACCTTTTGTGAGGTTAACCCCTTAGTTAATTCGATCCATTCAGTATTCCTCTGCCTTCTCTCCTCCCTTTAACGCTCTGCAGCTCCTGGGGCTTGCCAGTTTTGCTTCTTGCTCTCCACCCGAGCCGGAGGCTTAGGCATAAACCTGGCCACTGCTGACACCGTCATCATCTTCGACTCCGACTGGAACCCCCACAACGACATACAGGTGCGCTTCAGTTTAAAAGCAACCTTTTTTCTCCAGCTTCGGCTCTGTTTGCGTCTCTGAAAGCGAGCCGTTCCCCTGCAGGCGTTCAGCAGAGCTCATCGCATCGGGCAAGCCAACAAGGTGATGATCTACCGCTTTGTGACGCGAGCCAGCGTTGAGGAGCGCATCACTCAGGTAGCCAAGAGGAAGATGATGCTGACCCATCTGGTGGTGCGGCCGGGTCTGGGATCCAAGGCCGGCTCCATGACCAAGCAGGAGCTGGATGATATCCTCAAGTTTGGGACGGAGGAGCTTTTCAAGGACGAAGGAGAAGGTGAGGAAATGTAGGAACAAATCAAAAGCTCTCATTCACATGAACAGGTTTGTAAAAGCCTTTCCAACTCTTCCTTCATCAGGCATGAAGAACAACGCTGGAGACAAAGTTGAGGATGAGGGCAGCGTCATTCATTACGATAGCGCTGCCATCGAGAGGCTGCTGGACCGCAGCCAGGACGCCACAGACGACACGGACGTCCAGAACATGAACGAGTACCTGAGCTCCTTTAAGGTTGCCCAGTACATGGTCCGAGAGGAGGACAAGGTGAGATGGAAACGGGGATCAAACTGATGGAGCTCCTGTCAGAGCTGTGCTGAAAGCCACCGATATATAGCTTGTTCTAGAGATGGACTGATGTATTATCATCAGCCAATATGAGCATGCAATCAATGATTCATTAGTGCATTTAAAGCCTTGCTTTAAGATCAAACAAAGCCGATCACTGCTCCTCCATTTGCTCTTCATTGTGAATGTTTAGTTTCATTTATCATGGTGTCATTTGTATCATATAAATGGAGACAGATAAACCAATATTGGCTGCAAAAATTGGCCCCAAAAATCGGCAGCACATATTGGGGATGGGTTAGACTGATGTCATAATACTCAGCTTTATTATAACCTGTGTGAGGGACCGAGCCAGCCAAGCATGAGGACAAAGTGGTGATTGTCAAGAAAACTGGGTTTTATTTCCCCAAAGTAACAATAATCCAAACAAAGATTTCAGGGCCCTTAAAAGAGGTCAAGTGAACAGACTAACTAAGGGCAAAAAATATCAAGCTCAAACATTTTAAACCTCAAACTAACTGAACAAACAAACCTGACCTGACACACAGCAAACAAAGGGGACTTAAATACTGGCTGATCAGACCAGACTGACACATTGAGGACAAGGAAGGGAGAACATCTACACCAATTTAACAAAAATAACTAAACAGTTAGCTTAAGGATTGAACTTAAATGACAACCATTAAACAAATTAACAAAATGAGCAAATCACAAAAGCAAGAAGAAGAAATTATGCAACATATTTAAAATGTTGAGTCCATGGTCTTCCCCCATAGTGGGACTCCAGATGGTATCACCCAATCACTCCATGATCATGTCAGCCACATTCTCCCTGTTGACGGCACTCCCAGAACACCAGAAAAGAAAGCACAAAATATATTGAGCATTTGAAAAAATTAAATATACAAAAGTTAACCAAATGTACGCACTACAATTGGAACTAATGTCTTCAATATTTTCAAAATAAACAATTATGCTACTGTGTATTAAAACTTATGAAAAAGTGGTTGTGTGTGGGGTTACTGACCTTGTGACCATCACACCTGTATGGGTCGATCTCTAGTTCATAAAATGAATGATTGCTTTAAAACAAAAAACACACTGGTTACAAGGGGGGAAAATTGTTCTTTAGTTTCTTCAGCCTAAATTAAACGTGTTCGAGAGGATCCACAAGCCCATTTCTCCTCATACATGCTGTGTAATAGTTGCTGTTTGCATCACTCATGCAAGATTACTTTACAAAAAAAGATTTGTAATTTTTCCACTATGTCAAACTCACCACCGGCAAGTGAAAATGGGGACAAGCATTACGAGGGCGTTACGTAAACACATCACCAGCATGTACCACTTATTTAGATGATCCACCCGGAAAAAGATCATCTTCCACTTTAACTTTTAACTAAAACCAGCAAAAGGGCAAAAACTGGAATCAAAATTTTTCTTTTTAACTGAAATAAAAATAGAAACTAGAGCTTGCAAAAAAAAAAAATAAACAAAAAGAAAACTAAACTAAACAAACTAACTAATAAGAGTTTAAAAAACAAATGAAAACCAATCAAATTTGAAGCTAAAACAGTTTAGTTTTCATTTTTGTCTATTTTCCAGTTGCTGTTTTCAATTTGTCGTTGTTGTACTGCATTATGCCAGGAGATGGCAGGTCTGTCCTTTCTGGATTTTATTCAATGTTAATATTGGCAAAACTACAAAAAAAAATTTTTGTTGTTTCTTTTCCGTCTTGCCATGTAAGTCTAGTTATATTAAAGACTAAAACTATACCTGAACCCAATGAAAACTAACCTGAACCAACTAACGAATACTGAAAACAAATTAAAACTAAAATAGAATTGAAAATAAAACAAAAAACACAATTTAAACCTTTCTGGAAACATTAGTCAAGTCTTGTGATAGAGTCTCAGGTTTAGCCTTTCTATTATAGCTTTGCTTGTGTATTTAGAGTCACTGTTCAGGTGGACGATTAATAGTCTGGCAGAGCGGCGGTCTTTGTCCACTTTGGAGACGACCTTAATAAAAACTTGTGAAGAAAAGTGGGATTTTCTCTCAGATCTGATAAGATAAAACACCATTTAAAGTATCATATTGTAAGCAGGATACCTTCTCCTGCACACAATACGATATTCCAGTAAGTTGGCATAATTTTTCCTCTCCAACCTGCGTGCAGATCGAGGAGATCGAGCGTGAGATCATCAAACAGGAGGAGAACGTGGATCCGGATTACTGGGAGAAGCTGCTGCGGCATCACTACGAGCAGCAGCAGGAGGACCTGGCCAGCAAACTGGGCAAAGGGAAGAGGAACCGCAAGCCTGTCAACTACAACGACGCCGCGCAGGAAGACCAAGGTAATGAGCCTCTTTGGACGCTCAGAGAAACTGCTCAGATTATAAGCTTTGTGTTTATGAAAGAAATCCTGATCTGGAAGATTGAAAGAATAAATCTAAAATAGTGTAAATAGTGGAGGGGAATGGGCCTGGCCTATTGACAAAGCACCATGTGCTGTTTCAGAGTGGCATGCTGACATTTCAGATAACCAGTCCGAATATTCGGTGGGCTCCGAGGAGGAAGACGAGGACTTCGACGATCGGCCAGAAGGTGAGGAGAGATAAGAAAGAGATATCAGCTGTACTGAGGTCTGTGTTTCATCACAGTTTAACTTTGCTTTAGCTGTTAGGCTTTTCTGGCAGAACTGCATGAGTTAGACTGCCAAGAACTCCAACCATTATCCTACAACTGAGATACGAGAGGGAGAAAAAAAAATGGCTGCAAGCGAATCCAAACTGTTTCTTTTTTTTATTCCTTGACATCCACTGGAGTTAAATCTTGGGATAACATCATCTGGATGAATTCTCATCAAAGCTATTATTCCTCTGTGGCTTTTTCTGTCGGCTGCTCTCATGCGCAGGTCGGAGACAGTCGCGTCGTCAGCTGAGGAATGAGAAGGATAAACCGCTGCCTCCTCTTCTGGCCAGAGTGGGAGGAAACCTTGAGGTCTGTGTGCCGTTTCAGCATGAATTAACCTGTCTGATCATGATTGCTTTAGAAATGAATATAAAGCTTATTTTGATAAGCTTACTGAATAAGAGTTCAGTAAATCCAGTTATAGCGAAGTTATGCTTCTTCCCAGTCATCATGGTATCAGTGTTGTTTTATTAGGTTTCTAGCAAAGTTTATTTTGCTAAGACCAAATTAATGAACCTCCCGTAGGAAAGCCCTTCGTTGATTTAAAATAACATTTGCTTGGATCATCTTGTAGAGAGAAAAATAACTTTCACAGATTTTGCTACAGTAGAATACAACTGTAAATGGTATTGATTAATCTTTTTAGTTTGGAATCAATGCAATAATTGCAAAAGAATGTAAGTTGTATTTTTAGTTTAGTTTTTATGAATGCTAATCTAAAAAGTGTGGAGTGTGATTGTGTTTATTGCCCCGTCTTCTGGGGATTTCTCTATGGAAGAGGATTAGGGCCACTGCAAAAAAAAAAAAAAGTTAACTGATTTTTTTTTTTTTTTTAATTCAGTTTAACATAGGAAAAAAAAAGTCAGAATTCTGCCTTTTTTCTTCTCAAAATTCTGACTTTAATCTCAGAATTCTGCCTTTTTTCTTCTCAAAATTCTGACTTTAATCTCAGAATTCTGCCTTTTTTCTTCTCAAAATTCTGACTTTAATCTCAGAATTCTGCCTTTTTTCTTCTCAAAATTCTGACTTTAATCTCAGAATTCTGCCTTTTTTCTTCTCAAAATTCTGACTTTAATCTCAGAATTCTGCCTTTTTTCTTCTCAAAATTCTGACTTTAATCTCGGAATTCTGACTTTTTTCTTCTCAAAATTCTGACTTTAATCTCAGAATTCTGACTTTTTTTCTCAGAATTCTGATAGATAACAAACATGTTAGCATCAGGCCATAGCCATATTTGTTTTAGAGACTAGCTCTCCTGTTTTAATGACCTTCTGCTCCTTCATTAATGAGGGGACCCCTCAGGCACGTAAAAAGATGCCTAATTCCGTCATTTTCCACCAATGTGTCACTGGCCCTCTCAAACAACTCACATCTTTGTCAGTGAAGCTGAGTGCTCCCACATCTCTTCCTTCATGGTACCCATCTACATTAAGATCCAAAATTCTGAGATTAAAGTCAGAATTCTGAAAGAAAAAAAAGTCAGAATTCTGAGAAAATACGTAGTCAGAATTCTGACTTTTTTCCCATATAAAACTGAAATAAAATTTTAAAATCAGTTAACTTTTTTTTATTCAGTGGCCCTAATCCTCTTCCGTAGTTTCTCTCCCAGCTTTGCAGACTGAAATGTTTGCCAGATGTTTTTTAGTTTGAATGGAGAGCATCTGTGCACATCTGGACAGTTTCAAAGTCCTTCCTCAGATCTCTGGACTTTAAATAGACCATTTTAATACATCCTTTGTTCCTAACAAAGCATTTTTGTGCCATGGCGTTGAGTTTTTTTGAACGCTGTGTTTTTCTTTACAACTACCACCAAATGCTGATAAGTCAGCGACTAATAGTGTGCCGGTGTTTGATTGATATGTAATACAGCTCTAAGTTGAAGTTAGTATTAACAGTAGTTAGTTAATAATTTTCACCCTGCATATAGCCCCGCCCCTTTTCCCCTTAATTCTTTCTGAATTCCCTAAAAATATCTCCTCACCATGATGCGGCCTCCACCGTGTGTTATAGCTTTAATGAGTTGTATGTGGTTTATGTTTTCTGCTCATTTGATCACAGCATCATCTTTTATGTATCCATTGGTAAACTGAAAACAGGATTTCTTGACAAATAAACAAAAACCTGAATCAACTTATTTTTGCATATAAACCACATGAGTTAGATATTAAGGGGGCTACTTGATGTTGACTTTTTGTATTTAAAATTGTATACTTCTGCAGAATGTGCCATAAAAACCTCCTCAGTGCTGCCCACTATGGGTTTAAACATGGCGACTGCAATTAAATGTTAGTTTACATGTCTATAGCTGCCTTTCATTATAGCAGAACTATATTTTAACGCATTGGAGTGAGGTAATCTTTAAGGTCAATGCCTGTCAGGTTTTAGCTTGTAGCTCCTCTTTATGTCGACTGTTGCAACCATAAAAATGAGAGAAACATTGTTCTACACAGTATTCTGTGTATATAAATGGCACTAAAGCATATCGTCATCCAAACACTTAGAAGTGTCTCTTAGTGCCCAAATTGGTGAAAATATTTTTTAATATTTTTTGTTTCCTGGGCTAATTGGGCTTAAAACATATTTTTCTGATTCTTTTTATGTAGAAAGTAAAACGTATGAATTCCTTTACTTTGATGGGACAATTTTCTCCTACTTTGTGTTGTTATATTCATCCAGTCTGTGTAGAAATAAATGAAGTTTGTAGTTCAAAAAGTTGAAAAGTGAAATTTAGATGCGTTTTGGGTCATTTCCACTTTTTTATTTTTTTTTATTTTATTGTTTTAGCTTTACTGGTTTCCGTTATAGAAAGCTGAAATGCTTCATATTCCCCCCTTAGGTTCTGGGATTTAACACACGGCAGCGCAAAGCTTTCCTGAATGCGGTGATGCGTTGGGGTATGCCGTCTCAGGACGCTTTCTCATCTCAGTGGCTCGTTAGGGACCTCAGGGGAAAAACTGAAAAGGAATTCAAGTGAGTAAAAAAAAAAAAAAAAAAAAGAAAATCCCGAAAAAGAAACAGCAAGGATGAAATAAATGTTATTTTTTTGACTGATTGATATTGTTTAAATAAATCTGTCTCATTTTTATCCTCACCAGGGCTTACGTGTCTCTCTTTATGCGCCACCTGTGCGAGCCGGTGGCCGACGGGGCCGAGACATTCGCAGATGGCGTCCCGAGGGAAGGCCTGTGCCGGCAGCTCGTCCTGACGCGTATTGGCGTCATGTCGCTCGTCAAGAAGAAGGTCAGACAATGAAGGGGATCTAAAACAGGCCAAACATAAGGAGAGCAACACAGTTTATAGAGTTTATAGACTTCTAATCACGGCTTTTAGACTCTACTCCTTTCCTTCAGCTGGTTATGTCGATGATGCCAAAAAACAACACCAAAGCAGTGAAAATAGTTTCTCTGAAAGAACACGTAGTTCTAAACAGGCTGACAAACCCTACAGACTATTTAGTCTTTCCTTTTTTCTTCCTCTTGTGTTTCCTAATCCTCGTGCAACACAGCGGGACCGTGTTTAGTCTAACTCTGCCCAAAGGAACAAAGCCTTTTCTGATCACTAACAACAGACTAGAGCTGCTCATCAAGAAGTTTTAGAGACCTGAAAAATACTAAAGACGTCTTTAAAAGCAATAAATCAATAATCTGAAGCAGACCTCCTTAGGCTGAGAAGAACTTGAACTAAACTTGGTTTTGTTCTACAGTCAAATAATAGCTGGTAGTATTGGATTACAGCTATTTTATTGCATTATGTCATTTACTACAGTTGTTTTGGGTTGGTGTGTGTGTGACTCTAATCTCTAATATCACTTAGAGATTCCTTGCAAAGCTTTCAGATTGCTGTTTTTGATTTCTGCACGTTGATCGTCCAAGTTTATTTAGTTTCTTTTAAACATCTTCGAGTGAGTTTTCAGTCCAACCTGTTTAAACCTGCAGGCCGTTCTGATCTGCTGCCTGCGCCAAAGGGAATACCGAATACGCTGCCAACTCCCCATGGCATTATGCCGGCGTGTTTAGATGAGCCGTAGTAGCAAAACTACCCACGTGCAAGGTTTTTATTTTTTATTTTGTTCAAACTCTGCTTAGTTTTTTGGCTTTATGCGTTCAGATCCAAGAGTTTGAGCACATAAACGGACGGTGGAGCCTCCCGGAGCTCAAACCTGAGGTCAGCATTGACAAATCCTCCTCCCGTGGTTCCTCCCCCGCTGCAAAAACCGCTACTCCCACACCCGACGCCAGTTTCAACAACACCCCATGCACGTCCAAACCAGGTAACCCCTTTAATTTACTGTAAGTCCAGCAGGGGGCGCTGCAGACTAAAGAACACCTGCAAGCAAGCTAGTTTTGGACTTATTGTGCATATTTCTTTATTTAAACACACACAGCGACCCCAGCTCCTTCAGAGAAGCTGGAAAAGAACGGAAAGGAGGGGGAAAAGGAGGAGGAGAAGGAAAAGGGGGAGGCAGAGTCCTTGGAAAAGGAGAAAGTTAAGGAGCAACAGAAAGAGGTGGATGGGAACAAAAGTGGCGACACTGAAGAGGTAAAACAAAGTCATCAAAACCCAAATATGTCAGCTGCAGCTCATCCCACAATCGCAGGAAACGTTTCCGCTGTCTTCCTCCATTAAAGCAACTAAAGCAGATGCCCTTAAATCTAACTATAGGCTAGTGTCAGAAAAGGTAAACGTAAAGCTAAAGTGCTACATCACAAACTGCACTTTGGTTCTTTAACACTCAAATATCGACTATTTAAACTACATACTATAACATGAGACATAGTACAAGAATTTTACCTTTTTTGCAGGTTACAAACCCAAAATTCAGTTTGTTTTTAGTTGCATTGACAGAAAAAAAAAACACAAAGTAGTTTATATTTGTAAAGTGGAAGGAAAAGAGTATATGTTGTTTGTTCTGTTGAGGCTTTTTAGAGAACATCAGCTTGCAAATATCTCCATGAAGACCAAAGAACAGGACACAGCTACATAACTACCAAAATATGCTTAAGCTGAAGAAAGAAATCCTCAGCTTAGCTGGAGTAATCTATTGACATGGCAAATATTATCAGTGTACTCCAAAAATCACGCCTTTATGGAAGAGGAGCAAAGATTAACAGACTGATAAAGGGAAGAGCTTCTGTTTACAATTTGCACAGGTCATGAAGGAGGCACGGCAAACATGTGGGGATGAGGAAACAGGTCAGAAAAATAACAAATTAAAAAAATATACATGTGATGAGGAAGTAAACCTAAATGTCATTCATATTATGAAACATGGTGGTTGCTGCATCATGCAGTAGGGAGGAAAAACCCAATGGAAATGCAGATCAGAGCTTTACAGGAAAGATCTAAAAAACTTCCAGGTGTAACAGCAAAAGTTGTTCTCTAACATACTGATCGACACATTTATGACATTTTTTGTTGGTCTGGGACTCAAAATCCCAATTCAGTTTGTGGTGTTATTGAAATAGAATGTAATACTTTAAAGAGGTGAGGTAGAACAGGCATCCCCAACCTCAGTCCTCAAGGCCCGCTGTCCTGCAGGTTTTAGAGGTTTCCCTGCTTTAGCACAGCTGATTATAATGATTGCAGTAGACCAAAAGCCTGTTAATCAGCTTTCAATTAAAATCAGCTGTGCTGGAGCAAGGAAACCTCTAAAACCTGCAGGACAGCGGGCCTTGAGGACCGAGGTTGGGGATGCCTGATGTTGTAGAACATGCATTAATCAATAATCCCATCTACTTACAACCATTAATCGCTAATGTACAGCTTCTAAAATAACGAATAAAAAATAATATTGTCGATCTTTTCGGTAGCTTTCATCCAGAACAAAAGACACGTCACAGAAGACAGACGAGAGCAACACCAAGGAGGAGGATAGGAGAGAGTCAACAGAGCCTTCAGCTGCTGCACCAGAGGAGAAGAAATCCCAGGAGGATAGTAAGGAGGAGGCAAAACAAGAAGCTGCAGTTACAGAAAAGAAACCAGGTAACACACAAAACAAGACAGACCAACGCAGAAAGAAAAACCATGTGACTAAGACGGTGTCTGTTTGCAGAGGGAGAGAGGGAGGAAAAGGAGAAAGAAAAGCGGGACGAAACGCGAACGACTACAGAAGCAGCAGAAGCCAGAGATAAAACCGAGGCGTCTGACCTGAAGAGAGGTGCTCACCGATGTCCAACAATTAGAAAGTACGGAAGGAAGGAGTTTCTCTAAATAGCTGTTTATTGTTCACAACAGAAGAGGTCAAAGGTGAGAAGGACGCCGGGATCAAAGTAGCAAAGGAAGAGCCGACGACGAAGGGTAATGGGAAGCCTCAGGCTGAGCGGCCGCGCTTCATGTTCAACATCGCCGATGGCGGCTTCACAGGTTAGCACATCTTAGCTGCCCTGAGCTTAAAACCTTCAGACAGACAGTTTGTGAGTCATCAGCAAAATGATCTCAGCACATTAGAAAATCTATCTTTTATCAAGTGTGATTCTCCGTGTGACTTTTCTTTCTTTTCTTTTTTGTGCTAAATTCATGTACATGAAGCAGAAACATAAACGGGGTCAGTTGGCACATTCTCAGAAAAGATGGCTGTAGAACTTAGATGTGAGGAGCCAAAGGAGATCTCACAGTTTGTGGATATTTGTGCTATATTTCAAGCATCCAGTACTGATTGTAAAAGAGAATTTAGTTTAGAGGGTATAGTGGGGGATTTTCCCTAATTTTTTAAAAGACACGCCCCCTCCACTTAAAAAAAATGCACATGCAGGAAGGCCTATTAAATGTGTGTGAGAGCGTGCACAAGCCCATTTCTCCTCGCGCACGCTTTGTTTAAGAGTTGCTGTTTGCATCACTCATACAAGCTTACTATACAAAAGAAGATGTTTTCCACTCTTACGACCCTCGGCCATTTTCAAAGAACCCGCGGTGAGAAAGGTGAGCTTCAATGACTGTCTTACAGCGTAGCTCACCACAGCTATAGGCCTGAAAGTGAGCAAGCGCAGAAAAAGATAGCTAACAGGGGATGAGTACGAAGGACGGCCTTACATAGACAAATCACCAGATTGATTGACAGTTAGGAGGACCACTTATTTTGATGATTCACCTGGAAAAAGAACATACCTCCACTATACCTTTAAATAATCATATCAAAACAGCATCCAGAAAGCTCTTAAAGTTACAGATTTGGTCAATTATATAGAGTGAGAAGGACAGACGTGATAAATAGATAAAATTTAAGTCAGTTTTGTTCATATTCTTGTGACATTTATTAACATGTCTTATTTATGGATATTAATCGTTAGATATATACCATTATGTTAATAATGTTTGTAGAAATTTAAATATTTAATAGACAAAAAGTTACAGGAATATATACTGTATCACAAAACATTCCATTGTGCAAAACGTGCATATTTTAATGTGATCAAAATGTAATGTCTGAAAGGTATAACCAGTGGTGAACGAAGTACTCAACAGTAAAAGTGAGTGAAGATTGAGTAAAAGTACTGATACTCACATTGATACCCATAAGTTACTCAGTCTAACATCTACTCAAGTTAAAGTATTAATGTACTCACTTTTGAAAATACTTAATTCAAAAGTACATACATTTTGAAGTATGTCAGTATCCAAAAAAGTAAACAATTTACATGTTCTAATAGTATGTTTCTGTATAATTATGAGATTAATTTTAAAGAAGTTTGTAATTTTCAGAAACGGTATTGATATTTAGAACCACTCTGCTTAGAATTCTACACCAGCTGTAAAGAACTGCAGCTTAAAAAGGCCAAAAAAAAAAAGCAAAACAAGGACAGCTATTTTTTTAAATCTTTATTGGTTATTCAAAAACAAGCCAAAAATAAAACAGGATAGTCTTGATTATTCTCATACTTTTACTGTGGAATAGAGTTTTAAGGTTGAATCTACACAGTAAAATCAATGGTGTTAAAGTAACACTTAAAGAGTCAATTTCAACACTGAGCCAGGTTACATATGGTCCTGCCCTGTACAGTGTAAAACTTACACCAATCACAGTGTCAGGATTTCTGAGTTAATTTTACTCTAATAGGAGTCAAATTTAGTTATAGATTCAAATCAATGACAATTGTTAACTTAGTTTAACACTTGTAAAAAATCAGCACTAAATGGAGTAGAATTAACTCTAGAATTCTGACACCGAGATAGTGTGAGTTTAACACTGTACAGGGCAGGACCATATGTAACCTGGCTCAGCGTTGAAACTGACTGTTACAGTACAATTTTATTTATCTCAAGGTGAACAGCCAAAACTTAAATAAGAATTTAAGGAAAAACGACCATCAGTATATCCATGTCTTGTCAATTTATTAATTTCAGCACATCAACAAAATGCCAATAAAAACTTGGCATAGAATTATAAAAAAAAAACATTTGCATTTTTCTCCTTGGAAAAAAAGATGATTTTTCATATTTAGATCATCTTTTAAATCTAAATACAAACCAATCTTTGAAATATGCTCAGATGAAAACATTTCACATACATTTGGATTTGTCAGAATAGATTGCAGTGTATAGCTACCAGCTCGTCCTTTTTCTGTAAATTTATGAAATGATTTCATTTATGAAATCATTTCATAAATTTACAGAAAAAGGACATTTAAAATGTATTTATAAACAAATATATTGTAAACCCAGTTATTTCAACAAAGATTTCGGACTTATTCCAGATGAAATTCTGAGAAAAAATTTAAAATCAAGGCACTTACCGTGGTTTTCTAGAGAGGAGAAGCAGAAAAATGGTGCAGAGAAAATTTTAGACTGTTTGTAGCATGAGGGCGGAGCTTTTCAGAGTATTATTCACCATAACCTCAAACAGTGAACTTTTAAAAACTGAACGGATTACACTATCATGGGTCCTTACCAAACCGATTTCAACTCTGAATGTTTTCACCAACCCTGCAATACACAATGAGGCATTTTACACTCACTGTTGTTGAAATGACTCTTATAGGGTTAACAGATTCTGACATTGACAATTTGACTCTGAATTTTACTGTGTATTACCAAAAAGAAACTACAGCTTGGTACCACGGAACCAACTAACGCCTTAATACAATTATAAACTACAAATGATATCTTTCTCACATTTGTGGAACGCTAATGTCTAAAATAGTGGTGTCCAAATTCAGTCCTAAAGGGCTGTTATCGTTCGTGTTGAAACTGCATTTCAAGAAAGAATTAAATTATGATTAAATAGCTGAGCTGAGCCAAAAGGAACAAGTAACTTCCTAGAAATGGATCGAAGTAGAAAGTACAATATTTTGCTTTGGAATATACTGGAGTGAAAGTTATAAAAAACCGTTCTTAAGTACAGTAATCAAGTAAATGTACTTAGTTACTTTCCACCACTGGGTATAACGTCTCAGCTCTTCCAGAGCAGAAACCTGTTCAAAGCAGGACTCTAGCAAATAAGATACTACACATCTCATTGTCAGGAGTTGAGTTTTGTGGACCCAAATGCAGAGGCAGGGAGGATGAGGTGAGTTTCTTGTGGATTTAATGAAGAGTTAATAAACAACTGAGGCAGGAATCCAAAAATCCAAAAAAATCAAACATGAAAACAAAGTCAAACAAACCAGAAACCAAGGAGACATCTGGGGGGGAAACAATCACGAGGAGGACTGAGTTGGAGAAAGTTAGACGAGGAACCAGCATTGAAGAACTGCACAGAAAGAATATTTATGGGAGACTGAAAAAAAGGGAGGACTAACGAGCAGATTGCGAGCAGGTGTGAACAGAGCAGAACAGGAAAGGAGCTAGGGAAAAAGGAGAACACAAGAGGGCAGCAGTGGGTAACAAATAAAAACCTGGAAACTGAAAATAACCAGAAAACACAACAAAATAAGAATTAAACTACTAAAACTAGAAAACTGTCATGATCTTTTTCAGTGATCTGACCCACATGCAGGAAACCACTCAGAGAAACCAAGGGAAAGTAACAGGTTTATTGAAAACAAGTTGAGATGGGTCCAGCGTTGCTCTGAACGCTGGTGAACCGGGACTGAAAAGTGAAAGGGGAAGTTCTGTGATTAGTTCAGGCTCAGTGGGAAATTTGAGCTTCGATTTGCAAAACGTTGAAACAGCAACTGAACTCACGTTTCCAGAAAAGATGTCCTTCCCAGAATCCAGTCGGTGTGGTTTGTTCCAGAAATTCGTTGGCTCGTTGGAGGGCGGACAGGGTTTACGCAGATTTAGTAGGTTCCATGAGGAGCGGAGGAGCTGACTGCCACTTAGATTTCCTGTGGTACTTGAACGGTTCTTGTGGAGCTCAACAATCCTTTTGGGGCGAAGAGGGTCCGAACCTCCAGTTTGAATCCCCTGCTCAGTATGAAGCTCAAGACGATCCTTCCAGGGGGAGAAGGTCCAAACATCCAGTTTGCAGGATGACTTCCTGCCGAGAGGCAAAGACAAAAAAACAAGGTTAAGACTCAGGGAGACATAAACTCAGTTTTACTCAGCAAAATTTAGCTTGGCTAGAGTACCCAAAACTGGCAAACACTCTGGAGTCGAGGTAGTGGCAGTCAGCAGCTTAAGAGTCCTCAGATAATGAGGCAACCATCCGAAGGTGTGTGAAAGGGCCAACGAGAACCAGACGCCACCTGGTGGTGGAGGGAGAAAACACAAAAACACAACCCACACAAACTGGATTCCTAACAAAAACATGGAGCAAAGTAAAACTGAATACCGTATTTTCACGACCATAAGGCGCACCGTACTAAAAGGCGCAGTCTCAGTTATGTGTGCCATTTCTGTATTTAACACACACATAAGGCGCACCGGACTATAGGGCGTGTTTTTTATATTCAGGTAAATGTCCTCTACTACCTTTAAATACTTCTACTGTGTATTTAAAAATACAGCGGGGGCAAAACTGAGTATGACTGTGGTTTATTCATGTATTTATTACAAAGTATTAATCAAACCTGGGAGCTGGCCGTGAGACAGACACATCGCTGATGACAGTGCGATGTGATCACTCCTAAATTAACTTAAAATCCTGAAACCTGCCGACGGAATATGTTTGCTTTTATTGCCGGTATCCTGGTGCCTGCAGTTTATATTATGTAGATGAAAAACACCTGCCAGCCACCGCGGTGAACCCGGAGGCTACCCGGCCTAGAGGCTGCTGTTGAAGGGATTTCTACTGTCGGTGTACCGCTGGAATGTGGGGGTCTGAGCGCCTCCGACAGAAATAGTATAGGCAGGATGATAATCTGGATGAACTGACTGCAATTATTAAGTTTTCAGGTGGCCTTTCTCACTTAAAAACATATTAAAACTACTTTATTCCCCCTGATCACAGCAAATATAGCTGCAAGATTTAGATTATTTAGATGAAAAACACCTGCCAGCCGCCGCGGTGAACCCTGCCCTGATGCTGCTGTTGAATTAAGTTTTCAGGTAGAAAAATAGAGCGGGAGCAAACTGAGTATGATTGTGCTTTATTCATGAATTTATTGCAAAGTATTAATCAAACCCATCAAAGTCATCATCCTCTGTTTCTGAATTAAACAGCTGCGCTAAATCAGAAATGAAAATGCCAATTTCCCCTTCTTCGCTGTCAGAGTCACTTTCCGTGCAGCGCGGCTCCTCAGAAATAATGCCTGCTTTTGCGAAAGCTCAAACAACAGCGCCAGCAGACACGTTAGTCCAAGCATCGACAATCCATCCGCAAACGGTGGCGTTACTTGCCCGGCGCTGCCTTCCACTTATCCTGAAACTGTGGTCTCAGTCTGTCATCCATCGCTCCCATGCCGCTCGCAGCCTTACTTTGAACGGCCGGTTCACACCGATGTCGAGCGGTTGAAGTTCCTTTGTCAGACCCCCGGGATAACGGCAAGCACAGCGTTCATTTGATTCACCTTTTTTTTCACATCAGCTGTGAGATGGGCACGCAGTCACAGATTAACAGCGATGGTGATGCGTGGAAAAACCACCTGGTCTCCTCACATACACCTGCCTCAGCCACGCTTTCATCATCTCCTCATCCATCCAGCCTTTTTCATTTGCCTTAATATCATATGTCATCAGAGCGCTGTGTCTGTCTCGCTGTCAGCTCCCAGATCAGCTTCTCTGATTGGTTGATGCTGCACGTCCAGCAGCAAAACTTAAATTTTTCCATCTCGAGCTGCAGCAGCGCATTGGCAGATGCTTAAACGCCTGCTGCTCAAAACGCGCTGCGGGACCTTTTGCTGCGCCTATACGCGCGTCAACCATTGACTTTGCATGTAAACACGCTGCTTCTGCTTCACCTGCTGGGTCCGGTTCACACCGATGTCGAGCGGTTGAATAACAGCGAGCACAGCTTAATTTGTTTCACCATGTTTTTCTCATCAGCTGTGAGATGGGCACGCATGGAGTCACAAATTAACAGCGATGGTGATGAGTGGAAAAAAAAACACCTGGTCTCCTTACATTCAGCCACTCTTTCATCATCTCCTCAATGAGGTGGTCTCAAAAGTCGCAGTTACAACACACATAGGGCGCACCGCACCAAAGGGCGCACCGCACATTTTGAGGGGAAAAAAAGACGTTTAAGTGCGCCTTATAGTCGTGAAAATACGGTACTTAAAAGAAAACATAACAGAACCAAGACTGTGACACTCATGACCAAACCTTATTTAGTCGGCCAAATCCCTTACATTAAAAGTAAACTAATAGAAATTGCCGCTTTAATTTCTTATTCTACTAAATAACAAGGTAACATGCTATGATCTTTATGTTCTATAACAACTTTAATGTAGATGTGCGGCCTCAGTGTTTAGATCTAATGCTGCTCACAGTGACCCTCAGTGACCTCAGGGAGCATGTATGTATGTTGAGATATCATGACATATTTGAGGGAACATTGCTTAAAATACAGATGAGTCAAAGCAAATGGGCTGTTTTATTGTAAAAGCATTGTGAGTGATTTCTTTCATTTAAAAACGTCATCCCATTGAAATTAGAGAACCAAGAATGAGGTAATATGTGGGAAATAAAAATTATTGCCTGGAAATTTAATGAAACACCACATATAGTATCACTCTTCCAGTTATTAATGGATTAAGAAACTTTTTAGGTGGAAATATACCAAAGTAAGTCAATTATCATTTAAAAATCTCTTAAATTTGTAATGATACTTTTCCCTGCATGTTGACCCATTTAAACTAACTATATCTATTTTTTTTTGATCATTTAAAGAAAGATTAGTGGAAAAACCTGAGCTGGTTTGAAGAGAAAGGTTCAGTTATAGAAACTGTTTCATTAAACCAACCATGGTTGTCCAAACAACTTAAAAAGCCTCCACTTGTATCAACAAATAAAAACTAAATCTTGCTTTCAGGGCCTCTGAATAATCACACCTAGGGGCCAAGGAGTTTATCCTGAGCTCTATCAGCGCCCCAGAAAAAGCTGTGGGTCCGCAGAGAAAAACACCTGCAGTCAGACGGCAGCCAGGTACGCCGTCTGAAAGCGGCCTCCTTGTTCTCACCTCGCTGCCTTCTTCTTCCCGCAGAGCTGCACACTCTCTGGCAGAACGAGGAGCGGGCCGCCATCTCCTCTGGGAAGATGAACGAGATCTGGCACCGTCGACACGACTTCTGGCTCCTGGCGGGAATTGTGGTGTATCCTTAAGAGCAGTTGCCCGGGAGATGACCCCCACTGTGTTTATTTATGGGGATCTTTTCTCTTTCTTTTTTTTTTTTTTTAACTGGAAGCCAGACGGCCAGCGTAATAAGTCAACAAACCAGCCAGAATGATCCGTATGAGCTGAACAGTGATGGAGAAAGGGATTTAGTTCAGGTTGCTCCCTTCATTACGGTAGTTAAGGACATTTTTATCATACTTAATAGCTAATAAGGAAGCAGATTCAGGCTAAAATACAAACAAGAAATCCACTTTAGAGCTTACTTAATGCTAACTAATATGATAAACTTAAAAATTATCATTTTTGTTTGTGTGTTAAGATGTTATCTCTAAATTGAAAGTCTGTAGTTAAAGATCTCCCTTCGTAAAGTTCAGTCCCTTTGAATCAGATCTATTTTTCTCAGCATCTATCTGAATAAATCTGTCCTTAATTTAACAGTTAGTTGGCACTGAAGTGAGAAATGTAGCAACTTTTTAGAGACCCTTGACCAGTTTATCAGACACGGCTACGCCCGTTGGCAGGACATCCAGAACGACCCGCAGTTCGCCATCGTCAACGAGCCTTTCAAGTCGCAGGCAAACAAAGGGAACTTCCTGGAGATGAAGAACAAGTTCTTGGCTCGACGTTTTAAGGTAGGACCCCCTAATAAAAGAGACTAACTACAAATTAGGGCTGGGCAATATGGCCTAAAAATAATACCTCAGATTTTTTTATTTTTAATTCAATTTACAATTTTTTCCGGGTCAGCATGTCTTTGGGTATGCGGGCGCATCACTATCGCGCTGCGCTATTGGCAGCCATGTTTCTGTTAACAGATAGCTCTCTGGACCGGGAACCTTTTCTGACCATTTTGAAATATGCATTTCAATACACAACCCCATGTCTTCTAATACAACCGCATCTAAATAAACTTTTACATTTGCTCCGTTAAACTGTGTCTCTGACATCATCATTGAACATGCTCAGAGCAGTCTGGCAAAATATGACTAAGCTATGTTTATCTGCGTTTTAGTTGTTTCTTTCTTTAGGTTACGCGCTATATACCATAATGTTAACACGAAAGGAAAAATCTTAAAAATGAAAAATACTAGATTTATGTTTAAATCCAAAGCTGAAAAAGTTAGCTCCCAGAAGTAGCGTAGGATCCCATTTGCTATGCAGATCGGGCAGAGACGAGTGATAAACCAGACAGGATTTAAGGCCTTTAATTTCTCAGCAAATATTATTAAACTTTAACACATTATAGTTTAGTATACTTACTGTTTTTAAGGAGGGGAAAATGTAATTTAGGTATTTTTTACAAAATAAAATCGAGGGCAACCCAGATGTATATCTGGTTGCACATGAGCAAATGAGCTGATGGTGCGGATCATGCTTCCGTGACGGATCGGGTATAGTGTTTCGTGTGACGCTGTTGCTTGTCAAACTGCAACCTGAGAGTGAAAGGCAGATTATACTTCTACAACCGCACACATCAAATGTCGCTTGCGTCTGGTCGCGAACCAGTTTTGCTGGTATGCTTCTGCAACGACGGTCTGGGATTTCTAGGGACGCACAGCAGGTTCCCGCCAAAGCGCTAGGTGGAGCCTATTCGAGAACTCGCAAGAATTTCTTCGGCGGCGCCGGCGGGAGTGTTTTTCCAAAACAACATATCTGAGGCATCGTACAAGTGGTTGTACTTCCGAACCTCCTCGATCAACCTTTTGTCGTGGTTATCCATTGTTTTTATTACTCTTCGGTTTTTAACAATGGCGTGCCCCAGCACCAAATCGTGAAGGAGGACCACACAGACAGCCGGAAAGGCATACCAAGGAGCAATCACAGATGCTTTTTGTCTGCGCACTTCCGCTTGAGGTCTGCGCGGGTTTGCTACCGTCCGACGCATACTCAGGATTTTGTTGAGGTGAATAACGATGGTTGCAGAGCCTCTGCATTTGGGGCATGGTCGCGCACAGAGACAGATTAGACATCAGAAATTAAAATTGGCCTTAATACTGCAGCTACAGAAACCCCGGGGAGCCAAAAATGCCCCGTTATAAAGAAAATTCATTTAATTTTTTTAAAAATCGCCTGCAATTTAATTCATTGAATAGATTTTTTTTGCCAAGGCCTACTACAAATAATTTGTTTTATTTGTTTTTTATTACTTCAGAGAAAAAAATAATAAGAATTGTTAAACGTAAAGCGTCGTATTTTTGGTCAATATTAGAGTTTTTATTCCTCTTTGGAAACTGATTCATGCATGTGTTAACTTTGTATTAGTGCAATCACCAGCCTTGCCTTTAGATTACATCATGACCATGAATTGCATTTTTTCATATAAATGTTTTTTTATTACTTAAATTGAGATTTTTGTAATATTTGTTATAATTGTGTAATTTTATCATGTAAACAGAAGAAAGAAAAGCAATATTGGCTTCAGCTGTGGTAAAATGATTAGTATCAGTTTTAAAAAGAAAAAACCTGTCTGTCTGTAGTTTCCAAGCCTAGAATGTCTCAGTCTCTTGGGTCACCTGACTGTTCAGTGGTCGTATGACGGATGCCCCTTAGACCCACATTTCTTCTGAGTGGTACTGCTGACGGCTGCACTTCTGGAAGAGCTCTCATCCTGTTTTCGAGTGTCTCACATGTTTCAGATCCTTCCCTCAACATCCTCATTTACTGTATCTCCCACTCCTGTTGTTTCTCCCCATCTCCTTTTAACAAACCGTTTGAGCTTTTCTGAGATCAGACGACCACAGAAGCACAGAAACACACAGAGAAGCAGAACATTTCTCATAAATATCCCTCCTGGATGTCGTCAGCTCTGATTGGTTGTGTAACCTGACTACTGTTTCGCATTATTGCTAAATATAGAAAGATTTTCCTTGACTCACAACAGATTCAAGGTTTACATCTTAATTTGTAATACAGGAGTTAACAAGGTCAAAGAGATCATCTAAAGGAATGAGCTTTTAAAAGAAGGTATCGCCTTTTTTATCAGTTCGATTACCTTATATTTATCCAGGCAGCTTGTTTGGATATAAGATGTAAAAACACTTCATCATTATAATCAGCACTAACTGTGCAGGACCTGAGCTGAGCTTAATGTTAACTCCATCTTTTAATGAGCCATGTGTTGTCTTGATAGAATCACACATGGTGGTGAATGATTGTTTGTTGCACACAGGATGCAGAGTTTCAGATTACAGCATAGGAATGTCAACAAGGAGTGTTTTTATTGTGGAAGACAAAAATATCCACATTCTACATATTATCTTTTAATTCGAGACTACAGTGTTATTATTATTGTTATCATTATTCATATGATTTTAATGTATGTTTTATTTTATCAATATTATAATATTTACTTGGTGATTCATTAATATTATTTTCTTTATTTGTTTATTTCGTTATATAATTGTTGTTGTTTTCTGTTGAGAAGTTGTTTTCTGTTTTGTGTCAAAACAAAATGAAACCAAAAAAAAAAATATAAAAGCTGAATTAATCTGAATTAGATCCTTAAATTCTATAAAATTTCAGATTAAGATTCTCCAGCTTAAGAAGGACATACAATTAAAACAGGTTTGGATTCCAGCATCAATTGTAGCATTTAAAAAATAACTTTATTTATAGAATTGATTAGATCAGCTGATATTCGAAAATTGCTTGAGCCCAGTCTTAGTTTTGTTCCTCTCGTGCTCCCTTAAAGTCAATAAACTTAACTTTTTACATGATTTCAAATATACAGGAGAGAATAAAAAGCATGGAATCGTTTATAAATTATATTTCCAGCTTTAAAGGAAGTTAATTATGACAAAATACGGTAAATATGATGTAAAGCTGTGTTTTTATTGCTGTTGGAAGTAAATTTAGCATTAGTGATCAAAGCTAATCCATACATCCATCCCTACATCCATCCATCTATTCATCCATCCCCACATCCGTCCCCATCTGTCCATCCATCCATCCATCCATCCATCCATCCATCCATCCATCCATCATCCCCACGTCCATCCATCCATACATCTGTCTGTCCATCCATCCATCCATCCATACATCCATCCCCACGTCCATCCATCCATACATCTGTCTGTCCATCCATACATCCATCCCCACGTCCATCCATCCATACATCCATCCATCCATCATCCCCACGTCCATCCATCCATCCATCCATCCTTCATCCCCACGTCCATCCATCCATACATCTGTCTGTTCATCCATCCATCCATCCCCACGTCCGTCCGTCCGTCCACCCATCCATCCATCCATCCATCCATCCATCCATCTATTCATCCATTCATCTATACATCCATACATCCATCCCCACATCCGTCCATCCATCCATCCATCCATACACCCATCCCCACATCCGTCCGTCCATCCATCCATCCATCCATCCATCCATCCATCCATCCATCCATCCATCCATCCATCCATCCATCCATCCATCCATCTATACATCCATCCATCTATTCATCCATCCATCCATCCATCTATACATCCATCCCCACATCCGTCCGTCTATCCATCCATCCATCCATCCATCCATACACCCCCTCACCCATCCATCCATCCATCCATCCATCCATCCATCCATCCATCCATCCATCCATCCATCCATCCATCCATCCATCCATCCATCCATCCATCCATCCATCCATCCATCCTAGCACTAAAGATCTTGTTCACAGTTACAGATCAAATAATATTTCTTGTGTTGATGTCATAATATAATACAAGAGTACAAATTCTGTTTATTCTTGCACAGTTTTTTACCTTCTGTATTATAATTGCATACAATAAAACTGGGCGTGTTACTGCCAGCTTTCACACAGACCCCAGTTTGATGATTTGAATTCACAAAGGCTTCACATTTTTCAGAGCTACAAGGTGATTTCAGAAAACCATGTTTTTCATTGTTGTGTAGTATTAACCCATGTGTTTCATTATTGATACATGAATTATATGACACCTCTTTATCATTAGAGAATTGCTTTGCTGTTTGTTTTATACCTGAAAAACATGTTTGAACAGAAGAAATGCGTAATAAATTGCACTTAAACGATTCATGTTTCACAGATAATACAAATATAAACTCATATTAGCCAATACATTTTTTTCTATCAGAATGTTCAATGAAGACTAGCTTTGTACATACATCAACTAGTGATGCAACCTGGACACATCATCAGTGATATTACCTGGTATCATAGAGTGTTTTGGGTCTTTCAAACATCATACACTCTCCTCCAAAAGCGACCCAGCCAGAGTTGATCAGACCCCAGCTTGTGTCCAGGTAGCGCTACCCTACCCACGGATCTCCTCTCCTGATCCACAACCACCGCGAGGCAACCTCTGCTGCCTCTGTGGCCTCCTTGATGGCCCTTCGCTTGCTGGCCCCTGTGATGCCCAGCATGCTGTACACCCTGCAGAGGGACTGGCCAGCAAACCCTCTGCATCCCACCTCAATAGGCTCGCACCTTGCTCGCCACCCATTGAGCCGACACTGCTCCACCAGATCGCTGTACTTAGCCCTCTTTCTCTCGTTGGCCTCCTCGATGCGGTCTTCCCAAGGGACCGTGAGCTCCAGAAGCACAACCTGCTTCGATGTTGCTGAGGTCAGCACCACGTCTGGCCTTAGTGATGT